ATACGTGTAATATTCTAAAATTTAGCTGTCCCCCACTGTTGCATAGGTCCAGATAGGTTTCAGTACAGTCTTGTAGATTAAAAGCTTGTTTTCGATTGAAGGATGAGATGTCCTGTTTAGTAATCCGTATAACTGAGCAAATCTTTGATTAGCTCTTGTATTTTAAGTCTGGTGTGTGGGTTTCAAATCAGTATTTTGTCTAAAAGGAAGCCGAGATACGGGACAATTTCTCAGGTGGGAACCGGAGTGAGATAGAGTTAAATAGGATTGGCGGGCAAGATCTGCGCCGGAGGGTCAAGATGAGATGTTTACCTTTGATTCATTTACTTTGATGCGACAATCGTTACACAACTGTTCTATCAGGGATAGGTGACTTAGCAGATGGAGGTATGCGATTTTGGAATCAGTATGAGAAGACAAGATAGCGGTATCATCTGCGAATTTCGCAAGGAAGGTATCGGGATCTGTTGGGATATCAGCAGTGAAGGGAATATGGACATGTGGAATAGGGGATGTGCTACATCGACCTCAAATGGGTAACAACTGGAAAAATCTGGGCCACAGCCTACTCGAAAGGAACGGTTATTGAGGTAGGGTTTGAGGACTAAGTACAAAGACTGGGACAAGAGGGTATTTGCATTTGAAAAGCAAACCATCGTGCCACACCCAGTTGAAAGCTTACGCTACGTCCATAAAGACACCAGTGCAATATTGCTTGCTTTCGAGTGCAAAAGATATGTGGTCAACAACACGTTGGCCTTGTTGGACTGTGGAGAGTTGTGAGCGGAAACCAAAGTGACGTTGAGGAATATTTTGGGATTCTATTATGGGTAGGATTCGCTTGAGAAGGATTTTTTCAAAGATTTTTGAAATGACCGGGAGCAAGGTTATTAGTCTGTAAGGATGAGATATCACTGATAGATTTACCTGGTTTAGGAAAGAGGATAATTGTGGAGTGTTTCCACATCAGAGGAAAGTGGGTAGTTGGGAGGACGGAATTAATTACGAAATTTTTATATCATCTTCTATTTATTGGGAGTGGAGCAGAGTGTTTATGGGTTATCGACTTTAAAGGGAAAGATCGGGGGAGGGGGAGGGGGAGAGGGAAGTCAATCCTGCACACATGTGGATCTACGGAGGGGGCTTTCGTACTGAAACCTTCCCCGAAAATGGCAAAATATAACCATGCCTTATAAAAAAAAAATATTTAAAAATTACCACTGCCTTCTTCCAAGGAAGAAGGCAGTGGATCAGCTGATGAGAAGGTTGTCTCCTCAACTCCTCTCTCAGTTTTTACCAATTTTATAGCGGAATCTCTCTGATTATTCACGTGATACAGTTAAAGTGTATATCAGAGCAGTTGATATTTACTGTTGACATCTTTTTTTTTTGTTATTTTAAGAAAAAAAAGAAAAAATTTATTTTTATTTATTTTATTTATTTATTTATTTATTTTTCTCTTATGATATGCGGTATGATCAGCAAGTGATGGCCAGTAAGGTGCCCAAGAGGTCTCGGTCAGACGGAGTTAGCTCACCAGCCAAACAAAGGACTCGTCGCTGCCTACGAGAAATACCTCCAGTGACCAAAATGAACACTTCAGAACCAGAACCTCAGCCCCAACCAGGTACGTCTGCACAAGAAACGATTGAAGAATCACCTTTCTTTACTCCAAACCCCTACCAAGTGCTTCAAAATGACAGAGAAGTAATGGAGTCTGCAGCAATACCCAGAGAACCAAAGCCTCCTCCGATATTTGTGAAAAATATAAAAAATTTCCAGATGTTCTGCACCCAACTAAATAAAATCTGCTCTGGCAGTTATTCATGCCTTAACAGGACCAATGACACCAAAATAACACCTGATTCTGCAGAAGCTTACCGAAAAATAGTGAAGTACTTATCAGAAACAAATGCGAATTTTCACACTTACCAGCTGAGGCAGGAAAGAGCTTTACGAGTAGTGATAAGAAATTTACATTCCTCAACCCCCACTGAAGTTATTAAAGAAGAACTAACGACGCTTGGTTTCAATGTACGCCAGGTAACAAACGTTTTGAAGGAGGACAGGGAGCAGCCAGGATTACGAAATAGGATCCCACTACCATTGTTTTTCGTGGACTTGGAGCCATCACCAGGTATCGAAAAAATATATGATATCACAAGAATATACTACACAATGGTGAAAGTTGAGAAGCCATATCCCAAGAGAGACATCGTGCAGTGCCATAATTGTCAGACCTATGGCCACACGAAGACATATTGCCACCATCTGCCGCGTTGCGTGAAGTGCGGTGAACAGCACAAATCTGTAGAGTGCACCAAACCTATACAAGATCCAGCAGTATGTGCCCTATGCTTGGAGGGACACCCGGCCAACTACAAAGGCTGCCAAATTTACAAGAATCTCAAAACCAGACACCAGAAAAACCGGATTCAAGATGAAGCACTAAGAACAAGAAGAGAGAGAGAGCCTTCCAGAATTGTAAACAATGATGTATCATTCTCCCAACTACTTAGAGGTAAGACTTTAACCGATAAATGTCAAGCCCTGCCACAACAACAACCTCAAACCCAACCTCAAAATCCTCTTCATCCTAATATACCTAACCACCAACAACAAATTCCTCATATTCCTCCTCCTTCAAATGCAACAGATCTCACAAGTTTGTTAGCATCTTTCCTCACCGATTTCAAATCCCTTGTTACTCCACTCATATCACTCCTCACGAATCTCGTATCTCACCTCATCCCTCCTTTGAAAAATCCTTAAATGACTCACATCCCTAAACCCATATCCATTCTCCTTTGGAATGCGAATGGTGTTAGAAATCATACAGACGAACTATCTACTTTACTACTTGACAAGAACATTGATGTGGCACTAATTACTGAAACTCGACTAACCACTAAACAGCACTTCAATATACCACAATACCTGACATATCGTACTGACCACCCTGACGGAAAAGCACATGCCGGTACTGCTGTAATTGTACACCAATCCCTCTCCCATCACGTACTCCCATTACCAATACATGATTTCCTACAGTCCACCGCTATCGTGATAAAAACCTTCTCCTTTCCGGTCACTCTTGCATCAGCGTATTGCCCTCCTAACCGATCCATATCCAATGCCCAATTCAGTTCTCTCCTCGACTCCTTAGGACATCATTTCATCTTGGGTGCAGACCTAAATGCCAAGCACCAACAATGGGGTTCCAGAACCACGAATTCTCGTGTCCGAACCCTGCTGTCTGCACTCAATTCCCAACGTTTTCACCTCCTTTCCCCCAACTCTCCTACCTACTGGCCCACAGATCCCAACCGTAATCCTGATCTTCTTGATTTCTTTATCCACAGCGGCTTAAGTCCCCTCAATTGTTCCATTACACGTCTAAATGAACTTTCCTCTGACCATAGTCCTCTAATCCTTAATGTTTCACTTGAACCTGTTCCCAAACCTTCTCCACCGTCATTCATTAGGGGCCCAGTAAACTGGGACCTTTTCCGCCAAATAATCTCCGATAATATTGATCTCAACATATCCCTCAAAACTCCCGATGACCTTGATAGTGCCGTAAATTCCTTTACTACCACAATCCAACAAGCCGCCTGGACTGCCTCCTTCCCAAAAGACTCCTCCAGAATTCCTATAAAGACCATTCTACCCCAACACATCCTTAACCTAATCCGCACCAAACGCCGTGCCAGATTATTATGGCAACGTACCCGACATCCTACCGACCGCTGCTCCTATAATTACTACTGCAAACAATTAAAACTGGAATTAGCCACCTTCAGATCACAATCCTTCAACTCCTACCTATCCTCCTTCTCTTCTCGCGACAATTCCCTTTGGAAAACCACAACAAAAATCCTAAATCCTCACCGCATTTCCCATCCTCTCCGACGAGGTGATGGCTCCTGGGCAGCATCTGACGAAGATAAAGCTGAGGAGTTCGCCATTCACCTATCCAATACATTTATTTCACATCCGGAATCCCATCCTGCCCACACCGTAACAGTAGAAGAACTCCTTACATCACCAATCCCACTTTCCTTGCCCCCAAAAGCTATTCATCCTTCCGAAGTAAAATTTCAATTAAAAAAACTAATCCTCCGTAAAGCTCCTGGACATGATCTCCTTACACCTCAAATCCTTCGACAACTTCCATCCAAAGCAGTCATATTCCTTACATATATCTACAATTGTATCCTACGCACCACCCACTTCCCTCTGTTATGGAAACACTCCACTATTATCCTTTTCCCAAAACCAGGAAAACCTCTCAATAGCTCAACATCCTATAGACCAATCAGCCTACTCCCGATCCTTTCAAAAATTTTTGAAAAGATCCTTTTGAAACGAATCCTACCCATTATAGAATCCCAAAATATCCCTTCCCATCAGTTTGGTTTTCGCTCTCAACATTCTACTGTTCAGCAAGGACTCCGAGTTGTTGATCATATTTCCTCAACCCTAGAAAACAAGGAATACTGTTCGGGTGCCTTTCTGGACATTGCACAGGCATTTGACCGGGTATGGCACTCCGGACTGCTCTCCAAGCTTAAAATACATTTATCTCAGTCCTTGTACCTAGTCCTCCGATCCTACCTCTCTGACCGCTCCTTTCGAGTTCGCTGTGGAACAGAATTTTCCAATATCTACTCCGTTAAAGCCGGTGTTCCCCAAGGCAGCGTCTTGGGTCCCGTGCTTTACATCCTCTTTACTGCTGACATCCCTGTTCATCCCGATACTTTTCTTGCAACATTCGCTGACGACACCGCAATCTTATCATCCAACTCTGATCCCGAAATAGCATCCTTAAATCTCCAAAGTCACCTCACCTTGATTGAGCACTGGTGTAATAACTGGCGCATTAAAGTTAATGAATCTAAATGCCAACATATTACCTTTACACTCCGACGCAATTCCTGTCCACCAGTACTCTTTAATTCCATCCAGCTTCCTTATTCAGACACAGTCCGGTATCTTGGCTTTCATTTAGACCGAAGACTAACTTGGAACCCGCATACTAGACTCAAAAGACAAGAACTCAACCGACGATACGGCCAACTATACCGACTACTAAGCAGAAAATCTAAACTTTCCATTGAAAACAAGCTACTGATCTACAAGACAATACTGAAACCTATTTGGACTTACGGACTAGAACTGTGGGGATCAGCAAAATTGTCTAACATCAAGCGCATCCAATCCTTCCAGTCTAAAGTCCTTCGAACAATAGTCGATGCTCCTTTCTATGTATCCAACAAAACCCTACATCATGACCTTAACATCCCATTTGTCCTAGACCTTATCCCAGAAAAATTCTCCAAATTTCACCAGAACTTTACTTACCGCCCAAATCCTCTTGCACAATCCCTATCAAGCATCTCCCATCCCTATAATCCTCCAAGAAGGTTGAAACGGCAGTGGCCTCGCGACCTTTTGTAGATTATATAAATTGGAGTTCTGGCAATGGCCTGATTCTTCACTCAAGACATGTGTGTATGTGGCTAAAGTGCTCTCGACCAATCTCCGCTGGCTTTAGTACCAGTGACGCGGTTGGGAGAGTAGCGCAGGGTTCTCCTGGAGTTCCCTCGCCTGATTGTATATAGGTATGCATGTGTTTTTTTTTTTGTTTTTTTTCCTTAGTTTTAATTTTCTTATTTTTTAGGTTATTTTATTTTATTGTCGATTGTATATACTTTTGATTATTATTTTGTTCTATTTATTTTATTTTTTTGTACATATGGTGTGAATGTCATCCTACCTCACTATAACCAATGTCCAACAGACAGATTGTTATAATACTCAATAAAGAAATTTAAAAAAAAAAAAAATTACCATTAATAGTATTCTTGTTCGTGTGACAACATTTACTAGTACTTAAGGAATCATTTAAACTCTATTTCATATAGGTAATTAGTTTCTTTCCTTTTCTTTCTAAGTAATTATCTTTATATATATTTTTAAAAAATCTTTCCGGGTGTAACTCCTTCCCAAAAAATAGATGTTCTTGGGCTTCAAGTTGGAATTCACGATGAGATGAAACTCCTCAACGAAGTTTTTGACATCTCGACCTCATTCCATAACCTGGAACACTGCGCAAATCTGTAATATTCCTAGAAAATCCGACAATGAATATCTCAGTTTTAGGTTTTCAGGAAAGAAATATCTTTATTTTATGTTTTAAATCACAATAACTTAAAATAGAAAAAAAAAACTTTATTATTGTATTTTTGCATTTATGTTGAACATCGTTATTTCTAACTGATTAGTGGTAAGAAAGAAATAACAACATTTCTTCTTCAATGTTTTAAATTGAACAATGTACATATTTACAATGTCGAAATTTTTATCGTTGGCGGGTCTTTTAATTTTTTTTTTTTTTTAAGTGATCCTTAAATAAAAAGTTGTACACATATTTGAATATCACTAAGGACTCGTTTACTTTTTTCATACTGACCACGTTATTCTGGAAGAAAAAAATACAACTTTTAAAATTTAGCAAATCTATAAATTGTGTCAATTTTACATATGCTAAGTTTATATAAGTACTAACTGGTATTAATAATTCTGGTTAATTTTCATTGTTGCTCTGTGTGATGAGCTGCTTTTAATTTGTCTACAAAGTAATCTGGAATCATATAGAATACATTACCTAAATATAATAAATTGTATGATATCTATTTTTTATAAATAATAAATATAAAATTCAGATTCATGTATATTTATATTTTAGGTGAAATCATATTTAACTATATAAAGAAAGACTGTATTTTTCAGATGCAAGAGTATCTGAATCCGTATTAAATAAATGGTTTAAAATGCAATTATACCTGAAACGTAGCCGATGTTTAAGAAAATGAAAATAAGTGTGGTGAAAAATATAGCCTTTCTTTATGTAATAATATCTATTTTTTTAAATTATATTTAATACAAAAGTAACTTAAATTTAAGCAAATAGTAATTAGAAATAAATGTACTTCATGTTTCGTGAAAGAACAATGAAACTTTTTTTTTTTTTTTTTAAACTTTTATTATGATATTTACAACTGTATTAGTATGAATACATCAAGTAAATGTGCACAGAGGAATAAAATAATATGAAACACGCTTGTTGAGAAACTACCCATTGGTAGCACTCTAATAATTTGTCTACATGAGAAGATCACGAGGCCATATTCTTTTCAGACGCCTCGGAGGGTTATCAGGAATCGAAGAGGAAGCAAGGTTAGAAACTAGAGGATTCGGATGGTCATGAAGTTTATTATGGAAGGATAGGTATCTGGATTCGGCTAAATCGGAAGCATATGGAACCTTGAGGTCTTTATGGATTATTTTATTTGTGACAAAGTAAGGAGCATTGAGGATTTTACGAAGGATTTTGGATTGTAAAGAGGAATTTGATGGTTTAGTGGAGCCCCATAGCTCAACTCCATAAGTCCAAATAGGTCTTATTATAGTCATGTATATGTGTCGTTTGTAATTCATTGGAAGTTTAGAGCGTTTGTCCAGTAAGTGTTGGAGTAAGCGGAAACGTCGAGCAGTTTCTTGTCGTTTCAGTCTTGTATGAGGATTCCAAGTGAGACGTTTGTCCAGCTGGAGTCCTAAGTATTGGATTTGTTCTACAGGGATAAGTGGGGTGTTATTAAAGGATACTATAGGACAGCAAGTCATTGGTTTACGACGAAGGGTAAAGGTGATTTGATAGGATTTATAATGAAACTTAAAACACAAACTAGCTAAGGCCGTTTTAATATCTACCTATAAATTAATTATAGGTACTTGATGGAGCATAATTAAATCTAAATAAATTAATTTGAAGAAAAATTAATGAAATAAGATGTTACAAAAATCTTTTTTTTTTTATTTATTTATGATATTTACAACAGTATTCGGGAGAAAAAAAATACATTCAGAAAATTTGATAACAGAAAATAATAACATGAAAACACTTGTTGAGGAACTACCCACTGGTAGAACTCTAACAAAAAAAGATTTATTTACAATTGAAGATCTCGAGGCCATCTTCTTTTCAGATGCCTCGGAGGGTTATCAGGGATCGAATAAGAAGCAAGGTTAGAAACGAGGGAATTGGGATGGTTCTGAATTTTATTATGGAAGGATAAGTATCTATTATGAGAATTACCGTAAATAAAATAGTTGTAGGTTACGATGAGTTAAAACTATTTATGAAGTAAGGCGGATGTTGAGAATTCGATAAAAAAGGGGTCTGTACCACGGACTATATGAAACGTATTATAATAAAATTACCTGAATAGTAGCCCTTGTGCTCTTCATCTACTTTCTTCAGATAACTGTCAGGTACGTAATGGTGTCCTTAAAATAAAAAAAGAAATATACGGAAAAATCAAAGAAAAAAATTGTATTTCTAATTATTTCTCAAAAATTAATATCTAATGATTTGGATTAGCAATATTTTACCTAAGATTCCTTTGTCTTACCAACCATACAAGTAATTTTTATAAGACTTTTTTATGCTCTATGAAAAATCATAATTGCCAAGTTTAAATTATCATTAATTAATATAATAAAAACCATTTGAAAATTATTACCTTTGAGTATTAAACTGTCTAAAATTGGAAATAAGTACTTGAACAACGAATCAATTTCTACTTGTGTTAAATTAACTAAACCTGAAAATAAAAATATAATTTATTATTTGATAACGAAATTCAAATCTCACAGTATAAATTACTTAGAAAAGACGTAATGGTTTATTTATAATTATACTACATATAACAATAAAAACAAACCAACAGTACTTCTACATACATAACAAATACACACCGTTCCACTCTTCAACTAAATATTAACCATTGAAATCCATTTTTCCTCTCTCTTTGTCCCACCTAACAAAGACTAAGGAGGCAGTGGCCTAGAGTTCTCCTGCTCACTATATAAATATAGTCAAGAAAAAAGAAATAACGCATTTGCTTGATGCTTTGAAAAGCAGTTGCAAATTTAGAGTAAAAAATTTTAAGTGTTAACTAAACAAATAATAATATTCAATATATTTTACAGAGTTTTGATGATATTCATTCATTTATGTATTTTTCAATATGCATAGATCAGTAGGATGGTTGTGAAAAATTAATTATTTCCTTATGTTATTGTCGTGCTACTAAAGGTTAATTTCTTCACAGGTCATTGTTTAAATAGTCCATTTAATTATTCTATCACTATCATGATTGTTAAGTTATATAAAACGAAATTGGGCTACCTTTGAATTTCAACATAACAATCTAGTTAATTAAAATAAAATATCTTGAATATAAATAGAATTCTTAGGGTGGAAACAACTCCAAGAAATATAAAGAAAATAAACTTAGCTCCTGTTATATTTAAATCAATATATGAACTCATACCTGTATCTAGTAATGTTATCAATATACACATTGTTTTAATAAGGTCGTTTGTAGACTGGACACCCTGTTTTCCTGAAATTCAAAATAATAATCTATTAAATAATATAAATTATAATTAGTTTTATGCATTTGTCCTGGGATTTATTTCTATAAGAAACTATATGACATTTTTTTTTATTATATGGTCAAAACTATGCTAAAATATATATATATATATATATATATATATATATATATATATATATATAAAACTAAGAAGAAAATAATAAACTAACCGTTCAGGAATGTTTCTGTGAACGTCGCTATTATACTCTCCATTTTCTCCGTTCCACCATATTCAGGATCCCAGAAGACCTCTTAAATAAAATAATAAACAATAATAAAATAAAACAATACAAATAATGAAATGAAATTATAAATATTTTATGATTTTTTTTCGTTGTTAGGCTGTTGTAGATGTAAGTTGGAAAAATTATATTTGAAAAATAGCTTTACCAACAGCGTGAAACAGCATTAATATTAACAATATATATATCTTTTGGTGTGATTACGTGAAAGTATTGGAACATTGTGTTTTATATATATATATTTTATATAAATATATATATATATATATATATATATATATATATATAAAACTTATATATATATATAAAAATATATATATATATATATATATATAAAAAAAAAATATATATATATATAAAAAAATACACTGTTCCAATACTTTCACGTAATCACACCAGAAGAGAAACCAGGTTTTCATGAAACTCATAGGGTTTTTTTTTTTCTTTTAATTAGTTTATAAAAGTAACCATGTTGATCCCAATTTAAACTACTAGTTAAACCGTTTTGCTACATAGCAAAGTGAGGCCAAAGAAGGATTTTCGTCAGTTGTTCATTAGACTTAGGCTGGGACAGTCTCTCCAACTAACGTAATGGGACGTATTCTCCCCTTGGTTTAACAAATAAGCTTCCTTTTACATATCAAATCTAAATAGTCTAAGACTTACACCTCCAATATCAAATATTTGAAGTGATGACGAAGACACTATGAAGTCCGTGTTAGATTTCTTAAAATCCATCAATTTGTGAAATTAAACTTTTGTTATGACATTTACAACTGTAAAGTAAATTTGTACAGAGAAATATTATTACATGAAACAGGCTAGTTGAGAAACTACCCACTGGTAGCACTCTAATAATTGTGAAATAAAATTTAAAATTGTTTTATAGATTTAATATAAAGATAAACAAGATTAATTTGCAGGCGTTGATGACTTGGATGTTTTGACGCCTTTGAAACCCAAAAAAACAAACAAGAGTTTTCGTGATATAGAAATAGTAAATAACAAAAAATTACTCGGACATTCAAACGAAAACTTGTACTTGTCCCGAGAAAATCATGACGTCTAGATTAATGATGTACTACTCTTGAATAATGACTTCTAAAAAAAAAAAATCCAGAACATCACAGACCATTTTGGTTTATTATTTTCAATAATCAAACATTGTAATCGTCCAAAAACTCCCCCTAAGATTTGAGATTTTACGTTTCAGAATACGTAGAGCTCGAAAATGAAATAATATTTTTTTACGTTCGCCGTCCGCGCATTTTTCTGAAACTACAGGACCGATTTTTTTTCAAATTTGGAATCAATGTCAGGGGTCTCCAGAGAACGATCCTCCAGCATCAACATTACTATCGGCCTTTCCTATCAACACAATGGCCGAAAATTCTGTGGTAGTATAGACTGTAGCGCCTAGTCGAATGTACCGATTTCAATGAAACTTGGCTTATCTTTTCTTTCCTACACATGTCCTTTAAATTTATCTATATAAAATACATCAACGAAAAGAAGCTAGAAAAAAAGTTATGAGGAGTTGTAAACTCAGATTTCCGAATAACCCAAAAATTATAAGCTTTTTTTGTGATTTTTATAATTAGATGTTTCAAAGGTCTGTCAGCTGTTAAATTGTCTAAAAAAACGAAGGAAGTTACATCGAAATTAGAGCACTATGAGTAAAGATTTCGCAATTTTTAAGTACTTTTGGTTAATTAATGGAAATAATTAACCAAAAATATTGAAGCATTGTAATCTTCCAAAAAATTCAAAACCTCAACTCCCTTCAAAATTTGACGTTTCGGGATACGTAAAACCCAAAAATCAAATATATTTTTTTTAAATGCAGCCTTTGTAAATTTTGATTTGTAAACACATTTTTTTGGTTAACAAAAGAGCAAAAAAACTCGTAAAAGATGTTTTACAAATTATTATATATTTTTTATAATTAACAAAATTTACAATAAAAACTTAAAATTTCAAGAAAAAATTGTCAACACCAAATCGAACCAAGAAATGTCAGAAAACTTATAAATCATATGAAATCTCTTAAAATTGGTATCTTTTAATTGCACTATTGAATATTACAGTGAATAATATTCAGAAAATATTCTCATACATTTCCAATAGTTTCAACAAAACAGTTTATCTAATTTTTCGAGTAATGAAACAAATAGTTATAAAAAACAAAAAAAAAAAAAAGCCAATTTTGTGTTTTCTCTTATTCAGGATAAGAGAAAACACATTCTTATATAAAAAGAAACATTTTCAAGTATACCACATTGTTTGTACCCAACACAGGGATTTTTATCTCTTGAGAGTTTCGAATATATCTTACACGATTTTGACATTCCTCGAAATGTATTTTATTTAAATGAATTCAATAGAATAGGTTAGTAATAATGTGAAAAATCGAATCTAGTTAAATGTTGATTTAATTTTTGTTTGTAATGTTCCTTTTCGTAAGAATATCAGCTTTCACGATTTCCCCAAATAATGGCGCATTCTTGTGATTTGTCGTTCTTCAATATTTGTAATTTTACATTACTATCAGAGAATAAATTTAAATCAGAAAGTTTTATTGCAGTGACGAAATTTTAATAGGAAATTTTTGTGATAGTTCATAGAGATAATAACTTCTCAATGAAATCTGATCGGAAATGTTAGGTTAAATAATAATAATAAATATCGATATTTAATATGCTTCCGATCCAAAAAAATTTTAAAAAGTTAAAACTATCAGAACTTTTTCATTTGACAGTGTTCGTTCAAGTAATAAGATTTAATTTTTAATTTATAAAATTATTGATTGTAAATAATTATTAATTATTAATACCTTTAAACAATGGACTTTTTATTGTCATAATTAATGTGTCAATAGGTTTCTCCCCTTTTGGAAGTACTAGATCTGGTCGTTGTAAATAGCTGCTACCAAATTTCATAGACTCTAAAACAAAACAAAAATAAATAAAATATAGCACATTAGATAGTAATCTTAGTTTTTTCAAAAACTGTTTATCGTTTGACGATTGGTAGTAAATAAATAATATGCAATTTTTCAAATTAGTATAATAACTATGTGATATTTGTTACATTGTTAATCTATAAAGTGCGTTGTTATAGATCATTTTTGAGGAAAATATTTACCGTTATTATTCATGTCCAATATCCAATAAAAGTATAATATATATGGCATTAAGTCAAAAGCCAATAACTCTGAAAAAAAAAATTAAAAACATTAAGTAATCAAATAAATAAATAGAAATATTCATTCGTTTTCAATATTTTTCTGTCTTTGTGGTGATTTTCCAACTCGAATTTTGAACGAAAATGAAGAAAATTGTACCTTTCTCTTGTAATCGCAATATCACACAGATTAATTTAGCAATTTTATGGTATCCCATTTGATTCTCGGCAGCTTTGACCGCTATATAAAAGAAAATAATGTATTAACTAAATATAGAACTTATTTTAATCTTTTAAATATTTAAATTTGTATACATTTGCTTTTTAACTATAACGTACAAAAATAAATTAACAAACCCACATTGCGACAATATTTGTTCCAATGTTGTTTGTGCTTCTTTTATCCCCGTAGTATTTCCGTATTCGGGCTTCCAGAAGGATTCTGCAAATAGTAGAAATGATAAAATATTTTTTTTTTTTTAATTATAAACTACACCTATAAATAAATTAAAGTAATGCGTTCTCGGGAAAGAGAATTTCATTATAAAAAGAAATTTGGAAATTGACAGGTGGAAAAAATATGAAAGAAGGACTATGTACTCTCTCTTATTAGAATCAGGTGCAATCCTAACCGTGTTAGCAGAAGAACCGACAAACTGGATCTAACTGGGTAATGATCACTGTGTGGTCTTTTCAGGTTCCGAGCAAGAATCTCTTTTCAGAACATTACAAACCACAAACTAATCACAATTAACAGGAGCCATGTCTTATAATATCTGAAATTAGAGGAACTGCTTGAAAATTTAGAACAATGGAAAAACAAATTTTTCCTGCTTGTTTTTCCTGCCATTTTCCGGAGATGCTTCATTTCTGCAGCAGTAGCTTTATTCCAGTGTCTTCAGCGGTATCAAGCTCTCACTTCCATAGATAAGGATAGGAAAGTATACGAACTTGACTATATGTCATTTTCCATTTCTCTTTTCCCGACCACTGTGTATAGTGTATAGCTGAAAGCCACAGTGTATTGCGGAAATTATATGCTGTCAGCTTTCTTAATTCTGTTCGAGAGCTCCTGGTCCACTTTTCCGTTTCTGCTGGGCACTACTCCGAGATAAGTGTACTCCTGCGCTGTCTCCATGGCTTCTCCTCCTCCTCTTCACTAACAGTTTGCATCATCTAGCTCTTTCCAATATTTATTAGCACGTCCTTTCTAATTTCTAGCTCTGCTTCCAACTCAGTAACTGCCTGCTGTAGATTTTCTTTGGAATCGGCAATAAGGACTATATCATCTGCGAAAAACAACACTTGAACCAGGATTTAAGTGCATTTTCCCATGCGTGCGCTTGCATATTCTCAATATTTCATCCATAAATATTATGCAAAAGGAGAGGACTAAGGCTGTCACCTTGTCTAACATCCCTTCTCATGCCGAAGGCATCGGACATTCTTCCGTTAATTCTAACTACTCCTTTGGAGTCAAGTACAAACTCTTTCCTCTATCTCATGACTTTTCGATAATCGTCGTTAGTGAGAAGAAGAGGTCCTGGGTTTGATGATGGGGTCTAAAAGCCACTTTCTGCTTGTGCTTGTTTTGTATATGGTTTTAAGTTTTTTTTACTCAGCTTCATTTGTTTTGTATTGTCTATATTTTTAGTTTACATAATTATTTCTTATAATTTACTGAATTTAACGGTTCCTGTTGTCAGAAGTATTTTTTTGTCTGTACGACTTCGTTATTCCTAATGGATATCGTCTCGGAATAAAGGCATTTTTCTATTCTAGTTGGGCACCTTTCAGGACCTCGGCGATGACAAAAAAAAAAAAAAAAAAAAAAGATGTTGAGGTAGAACGCTACTTAAATAATTTTCCCAACGAAGAAAATAGACCAAGAGGGTTAAATTACGAAGGAAAATAGAAAAATTAACACTCTAATGTACGAAGATGTGGTAGAGACTATCTTGAAACTCAGGAAAACACAGCGCAGTGGAAGATGGAATTGGTGCTGCTAATGTGTGAAAGTAAGAAACATTTATGACATGGATATTTGGGTTTGAGGAGCTAATTCCTGATCAGTAAAAGACAGGATTAATTTTCCAACAAATAAAAAACATATTAAACTTATACAATTATCATATAATTATTATATAAATTATATAACTAATTAATCGATAATACAATAACATCATACAACTTTTTATCAAATTATGTTTATTCGTCTAAACCGTCGTGGAAGGCGTTATTTTGACGTTACACGCAGCTTTATTATTTTTAAAACCTCAGAAATGGATCTTTTCCATTCTGGAGATCGGTAACATTTGTCTATACTTAATAAGGTACTAAAAATTCATTAACACCAATTTGCTTTCTATTTGAATCGTGGGATAATTTTATCACAAAATTGAGAAAAAAGGTGGCCTATAAAAATATTGGGCTGTTTGGCCTGACCTCCGCCTCTATTAGGTCAAAAGTCGTGGCTAAGAGAAAATAACCTCTGAATAAAATCAAGCAATATTCCTAAAAATGGGTGACGCCAGTTTTTCTAAAAACGTATTTTTTTAGACCAAGAGAAAATTGAAACTGTTTTCTCAAACATTTATCTCACTTATTTTATATAATTATAAAAATTATGTAGCAATCAATACTATGTATGAGATAAAAGAAAAAAAAACTTGAGACTTAATGTTCTTTATATTTATAGCTACCTATAATTTCATCAGACTCCAAAATTTTTATTAAAGATTCAATTCTATGCTCCTGTTCTACAACTGGATATTTCATTTTGTAGAAATCATCTGCTACAGGTGGTTCATCTTCAGGATGCTCTTTATTTTCTTCTGTAAAACATAAGATTAATACAAAAATGTTCTCAGAAAATATATGTTATTGATATATATATGTGTGTGTGTGTGTGTGTTTGATATTATTTATGTCGATACATTCTACTAGATACGTATTCTTAAAAATGTGAAATACATAGAGGGAAACAACTAACTTGAGGGATTTTTTTTGTTGAAATGTTTAGAAAATATACTTAAAAATAGTTTACAATATTGTTTAATATTCAATTTCAGCTTACTATTGATCACCCCATAACCACTACAAATGTTTTATAATAATATAATTCTTAATAATACGGATTATTTAATTTTTAAAACCCAATTATTTAAAAATGATATATCGATACCATATCACACATTATTATATGCTGATAACAATAGGTATATAGCTATAATTGCCGTTTTTAGGCTGGATTTCAAATTACTTTTGGATATCCAGTTAGATTGTGGACTTCGAAGAGTTTGGGTGTGTTTATTGTGCTATGAAGGATTAACTCCAAGCTGTTCGTCTATTGTACCGATAAGACTATATTCTTTTATTTCCTTTTTATTTCGTTTAATTAGATATATATTTTCTTTTAATATAGATGATTGTTTTCATTTTCATTTTAATTTATTTTACTTGAAATATAGAAATTATAGTTCTTTAATTTAAATCTATAATTAAAATGGATGAGTTATCACATAGCTCATACAAGCGTCGAAAAACAAGTCGAATTAAAACTCCACCTGACACTTTTCACGTAAATGATGCTATGAAAATATTCCTACCTACTTAATAGTAAGTAGGGAAGGAGATGGTGGTTTTCAAAGGGTGTCCCCCTTCTCGAAAATAAATTCATAGTTAATTTAATAGGAGAAGTCAAAAACGTTAAGGAATTAAGAGATGGAAATTTGCTGATCGAAACTAGCTATTGTAAACAATCACAGAAGCTTTTAAATTGTAAGCGATTTGCCGACCAATTTAACACAACCGTAAAAGCACACGCTACTTTAAATTATAGTAACGGAATTATGCTTCGGTTTAAAATATTTAGAAAAAAAAATGAAATTATTGAAGAGCTTAATGGAAACATCATTGATATCCATAGGATAAAAATAAAAATAAACGGTAACTAAAAATTTACTACAGATACCTTACTTTTTCACACCATACTGCATAATGCACAAACCACAAAATAATTTGTTCTCAGAGTGGTGAAGAAAAACAAACTCTTGCAAAATGTACCAAAGAACCCATTCGTATTAACTGTGGTCAAAATCATAACAATTTAGATAAAAAATGACCTATTTCCAAGATGAATAAAGTAATTAAAACCATCCAGTTCACTAAGAAAGTCTCTTACAATGAAGCTAAAAATATTTATAAACAAGAAAAGCCCCAACAGTTCAATAAGTTATTTTCGGAAGTCATTAGGTGTAAAAATTTTTCAAAATTTTATGAAAATCGGATAAACAGTAGTAGGTGACATGACACCTAACCAAATTAGATCCTTGTTGTCAGTAACGCAAGTGGAAATTTTTGAATCTGAGCTTTTCTTTTTTTTTTAACCTCCTGTACAAATACAAATCTTTCTTTACTTCAGTAGACAGGAAGCAAAAAGTGAAAAATTCCTATGCTAGAAAAATATTCACAGATACATGGATGCTGCCTACCCCCTCCTTTACCAAGGCAATGTCAGGCAATTTCTCTAATAACAAATTTTGTAGACCAAAAGGAAGTTGAAAATATTTTCTCAAACATTTACTTCACCAATTTTATAAAATTATAAAAAATTACAATATGAGAAGGATTTGGTCGAGAGCGAGGGGGAGGGGGTTTGCGGTAAAACAAATACTAAATTGTTAAAGGAGTATTTTAATCTTTACGCCGACGTTTCGATCCAATTTTTCGTTAAAATACAAAAATATTCAATAATGTTCTAATGTCATTATTAGCGTTGTTTATTATAATGATTAATAGAGTGAGAAAAAAGTATAGCTGCAAAAGTAATATTTTCTTCAAGACGATAAATTCCTTCAAACAATAAAAAAAAAAGAAATCAATAGATAAAACAAATTTCGCATTCTAATAATAATAAATTATTGTTTGAAAACGTTATTTAAACTTAGGAAATATCGTTGTTAATTCGAAATCATAATGAATATTATTTTAAAATTAGTGCTTGTTATAACACGATAAAAAATTTTTTAACTAAAATAATTTTTTTAACATCAACGTCAAAATAATTAATATAATAATACTTTATTTATTTTATCCTGGGAGGATTTCCTTTAGGATAATACAGAAAGGCAGAAATGTGGGATTATAAGCCTCAGAGATTCATAAACAAAAATACAGAGTAATTAAATAGTCATAATAAAAAAGTATATGTTACTTTCTAATTTTAATCAGTTAATAATAAAATATAAAAAATTGAAAATAATAATGAAGAACGATTTAATAATTTATATACATATTTACAGTAGTGTTAAACAATTTTATGGAGACTGGATGGATAAGAAATGATTGAACAGGCAGTATTTAAAGGTAGGAAGGGTATTGGATTGATGGATGAGTGAAGGGATGGAGTTCCATAGGGATGAGGATCGGATAATGAACGATCTGTCGAAAATAGCCGTTCGGTGGGCCCTTGTGTATAAATCAGAAGACCTTGAACGAGTATTGCGAGAACAAACAGAGGATTTGAATTGAAGGAGCTCGGAGATGTATGAAAGACGGTGGAATTGAATGACTTAAAAGAGGAAGGGTGCCAGGAAATACTTACGACGGTAGGAAGGATAAAACCACTTTAAATCTGCATAAAAACGGTAAACAGAGGCGTCCCTTGGGATCCCGAAGATGTATTGTAAAAGTCAATTTATCAAACGTTTTAGTTCCGCCTCGTGATCCCCAGAAACGCCCCCATATACCTCACAGCAATATTCAAAGTGCAGATAAATTAAAGAAATGACTAGGAGCCTGTGGGTTTCAAGAGGAAATAGGTGACGGGGGCTAATTTAGAGGTTTTAAGGTGGAAATGGTACAGGGGAGATATTGAATAAATGGTTTTTCTAGGAAAGCTTTTGATCAAAGGTTATTCCAAGGTTTTTGATGGAGGGATAGAATTTGATAGGATTATCATGTAGGAACAGAGTTGGAATATTAGGTACAGATTTAAGAAGGTTATCAGAGCCTATTAAGATTGCCTTTGCCTTTGCATCATTCAACTTGAACTTGTTAGCTCTCTCCCAGTCACAAATCAAACCCAAGTCTTCTTGAAATTTTTTTATGGCTAATAATAGGTCGGCGGGCAGGAAGGACAGGCATATTTGGAAATCATTTGCATCGATATGGTATTGGCAGTGTTGGATCAGGAGTGGAAGGTCATTACTGTAAATTGCAAACAGAGTAGGAGATAGAGAGGTACTTTGAGGAACACTACAGGAGAGCGGGAGGGTCTTAGATGGAGGTTGACATGGGGCGACTACATACTAGGACCGATTATATTTATGTATATGTGACTTATGTATGGAATATATATATGTGTGTGTGTGTGTACGCCTTGGATGGTTATTAGGAATCGATGAGGAAGAAGTATCAGAAAAAAGAGGATTCGGATGGTTCAGAAATTTATCAGGTAGTTCAGGATAGGTATCTGGATTGAGCCACACATAAGGAACATTAAGGTAACCATGAATGATTTTTAGTATTTATATTGTTTGTATATGAAAAGGAATTTGTATGTCCAAAAATAAAATGGATTATAGTCATCAATCCTTTTTTTTTTTTGGACATACAAATTATATACAAATTCCTGCTGTGTGTCAAGCAACCCTATGTAGTTGGGCAGCACTGCTTTAAATAAAGTATTTCTCTCTCTAAAAAGTTAAGGAGCATTGAGGATTTTAAGGAGAATTTCGGATTGTAAGGATTGAATACGATAAGAATTCGATGGCTTAATGGTTTCCCAAAGCCCAATCTCGTAAGTCTAAATAGGACTTATTATTGTCATGTACATGAGTCTTTTGTAGTTAATTGGAACATTAGAGCGTCTACTTGTCTACTAAGTGCTGAAGTAGTCGAAAACGTCTAACGATTTCTTGTCATTTCAGTCCTGTATAAGGATTACTAGTGAATGACACGTTTGGTTAGTGAGTGACCTGATGGAATCCTAGGTATTGGATTTGTTCAACAGGGATAAGTATGGTGTTATTAAAGGATGCTGAGGGACAGGCAGTCATAGGTTTACGACGAAGGGTAAAGGTGATTTGATGGTATTTATTGGAATTAATTTTAATCCTCCAGATTTGACACCATTCTTCAAGGTTTGTGATGTGTGATTGAAGGGGAAGGGTTTGGAATGCAATTGATGGGGCGTTATTAACTGATAGAATACACTTGTCATCGGCCTATGTGGTAATGGCAGTGTTGGGACGGGTTTGGATGTCAGCTGTATAGACTGTGTAAAGATACTACCTTGAGGAACGCCTGTATACTGGGAAAAGCGGGATGTATAGGCATTGTCGTGATTTACTTTAAAGTGTCAGTAAGGAAGGAACGGATAATGAGGAATTATGTAGATAGGATTTTTCGGAGTTTATACAGCTGTCCCGGATGCCAAACTCTATCAAACGCCTTTATACATAGATACAGATAAAGATACTTTCATTGCCTAATAATTTAAATATACTTTAAAATTTTTTTTTTCAACATTGAAATCTGTTATTTCACAGATATATATGTATTATTTATATTACTTATCAGTCAAAATTTGTAAAAAATATTGATATTTATTGTCCACAATTTTATTTGTTTACTTATGTTTATCCTTTATTATAATTTAAAAGTTAAATTACTCCGTAAATCAATTATTTCTGTTCATTACTATTATTCTTAGAGGTCTAAATATCCTAGAATAAAATTTAGTTTTCTTCTTCATTCTTTCATTTTCAAATAATTACCTGTATGATGCAAATATTCATATCCATATATCTTAAAACGTTCCACGACTATCGTGTATTCCCTGATTATTTCCCTCAATTCAGTATCTGTAACTGTAAATTCATATTATTCATAAATGATGCTCTTTTAAAGAGTTAGAAATCAATAAATAATCTTATTATATTTCAGCAAGCGTTGCTTTAGAAGTGAGGTGCTATGTATGGACCCTCATTATAACATGGCTTACAAACATACAGATTGGGAAATAACGCGGAACAGTTTTAAAATGTAATGATAATTTTATATTAGTAGGCTTACTTGTAATTTACTCTATTTTCGTTACCTTTACCTTCCTTCCCTTCATTCTCATGTTTACTTCATTCTCATGTTCCCTTCATTCTGTTTCCTTTACCAACTTTTATAACGCGAGTACACTATAACGAGGGTTCTGTCCTTTAAATGAAGGCCAGAGCTCAATGCATGTACAATTATTACAGGTTTACTGCAATATGGGGAAAAGGGCGCAAATAATGGCTCCATTTGTATTTATTTTTTCAAAAATCTTTTTCTAATAATTCATAAAACAAATATGAACCATTTTTTACTTTGAATTTAAATTTACAATTACTTTATTTGTAACAATTTAAAGCAGGGATACACCCAATAAAATATACTCATACTTGAAATTAATAGTACAAAAATGTGTTACTAAAATTGATAAAAAAAAAAAAGGAAGAAGAAATTAATATACATTAATATGTGGGAAATTTACTTGTATGTCAGAGACTCATGGCTTCATAATTTGATTTGTTCCATTCATGGTTTCTCTTTTCAAGCTTTTTCCTTATTTTTGAAGTACTGTATTATTATTTCAGTATTTGTGGAGTATCCTTGTATCCATTAAATTTTGTGGTTATGTATGTTTTATACACCTTCGAGTCCATTTTTTGTATGTATTAATTTGTTGTTCCTTTTTTATTTTATTAACACATTTTTGTATTATTATATTTCAATTATTAGTATCTCCCCTCCTGGATTCCTGCTACTAAGCTGTTTTATATTACGTTCCTCTTCTGTTTCCTTTAGTATGTTTTAAGATGGAATGGCATGGTGAGATGTCAAAAAGCGTTGGCAAGTTAATTGTTCACTTGTATGTTAGGGACTCATGGTTTGGATCATTCAATTAACAATGTCCCTTTTCGAGTTTTTTTCTTATTTTATAACAAGTATATGTAATTTTTTTTTACTTCTGCCTTAGTTTTTATACCCAAACGACAAATCATAGGTCTTGGAATGTAGGTAATCATTAAAACAAAACCCCGGCACTGGATATAGACTTTTTGACTGTGTTTAACTCTTGTTAGGAATTCGGGAATCTAATAACTTTTGTGACATTGAGTGAGGAGAAACAATAAGAATATATATATGGAATGTGGAACTTAGTAAATACACTTTGAATGAATTGACTCATCTGGTTTATTCTTCAATTGTGAAGCCTATAGGACAACTAAATATAAGGACTATTCACTCCTTTCTAATAAAACAATTAATTTTAACAACTGATATAAGTGAATATATTAAAGTCTAATAACTGCAGGCTTGGTATTCTTAGTCTTCAATGTAGTAAGCCTCTCTTCCCAGATGAAATCTTCTCGTGTTCGTGTCCAGGCCTAAAGTGAGTCCTCCTCTTTTCTGGCAACTTCCTTTCAACCTGTCCCGGCCTAGAATGCCTTCTCCTCTCTCCAGCTTTTGCTACCTCCTGGGTCCTTTCGGTACCTCCCACCTTCTTCCTTGATCATTTATCGATATGAGACTTTTCAAAGAACAATTTGTCCACTGCACAAGTGAGTACAACTCACAGTGCAACCTCACATTCCTATATATTATATATTCCTTCTAATTGCCTCAAATAATGTCACATAAAGGAGTAAATACATGGGGCTTTCTACTACACAAGGCTGGGCGACTACGTTGGGCTGGCCATGTGGCCAGAATGCCAGAAGTCACAAGGAAGTTGCTTGATGGGAAGCTCTGCAGAACAAGAGGGAAAGATGGGAGGATGCCTCATCCGAGACGCCAGAGAAGTATTGCAACTGGCGAGCGACTGCGCAAGATAGAGCCATCTGGCGAAGGCTCATTGAGACGGCCAAAGACCACTCCTGTCTGTAGCGCCAAGGAGTTAGTTATTTAATTACGATTTGTTCCAACAACATCTATTGGTCAGTGCCTTAATAAAAAGTAAATACGTTTAAGTAAACAAAAATTAATTATTTAGAATGCTTCACATATTTAGACCAAAACTTGAAATCGTTGAGTAAAAAGTTTTCTTAAGGTTTAGTTATTTGTCACTGATTGGATTCCTTATAAATAACTAACGACAGACCCTAGCTAAAGTCTTCTTTATTTTTTTTACAATTTTCTGCCGAATAAGTTACAGATACCAACATCTTTTAACATAACACCTCCACAATATGCAGTATAGTTAAATGCAGTATAGTTTGAAAATTAAAAAAAAAAGGGAACTATATTTATGTATATAGAACTATATATTATTTACCTACTTGGCACTTTTTTTTAAAAGATAAAAATAATCCTGCTACATAAACCGAAAATAAATTATTTATTTATTTTTTTTTTTCTTTTTTTAAACGGTGACAAATAATTATCACGGTTCTTAAATAAGAAATGATTCAACGGGCACGCATTCAATTTTTTTACCTGAAAGAACTATTTGTTTGCTAATAATTATAGCCCATGAATTATAGCTATGTTTAAGGAATTGTATCGATTACTTTTTTGAACCCTTAGTAATTTTTTGTTTTGCATAGCAATGAGGAAGAAAAATATAAAAACATTTTTACAAAACTGACTTCTGTTTTGACTTTTTGATGAAGTTGTGTTTTAACTTCAAATGATCCATTTTAAAACTGTGAATGGTAAAAGATGATGTTTCTCAGCTTATCCGTTCTAACAACTTTGATGAATTTACTGAAATCCATTCCAGGCCATAGAAAATAAAAATTGAATAAATTATCATAATTATTTTATCTAAAATCACGGGAACAAAACAAGTGATGAATCTTAACTTATTCCATAGCAATCCTTAACTTAATTTCATATGAATAAAAAGCTTATTAAACAAGCATTTTTTTCTAAAAGAAGGATAATTATATTCCAGTATATAATAAAAAATAAAAAATCATGAATGCTCTATGATTTCTTGAAAAACTAAATATACCGTAGTTTAGCCTCTTCCAGCTGTCTAGTTTACTATGAAACAATTGTTGATTAATTTCTTCAATCAAATAATTTCTTATTAATCACTTCCAAATCAACAAAAAAATGTCGCTTAAAAAAAAAATTAAATTTCCTACTTGTCTGCAGAAAACAGGACCGTTATTTATATAAAAAACGTTTTCGTTGCTATTGTGGTTTGCTATCGTCCTATTAAATATTTTCATTTACTTACGGGACAAATTGTATATACATGTGTATATTATATATTTAAGCTCATGACATAATGTGTTTATATAGCTTCTTATCTGATAAAACTTATTTAAATTAAATATATTTGTGTTGAAGTATTTATTTCTTTATCTATAATAAAAAGAATTATATAAAGTTTTACCTGATTCTTGTAAAGTTGATAATATTTTGGAAGTGTCGGAACCAACTGAATGTTGACCTGCATCGGGACCTGTAACTGAAGATCACACAGACTATGTGATAAGCAGAAAAAAGGATTTTTTACATTTGATTGATCGCATGTTTTTTTTTAAACCGTCATTGGCCGCTGCTTGAGTATTTCTCTTACATCAATCGTGGCATCTGTCTAGGAACTCCTTGAGTCTGAAGTTTACAGTCTATACCTATTCCAAGCACCCTCCACTACGCTACTATCCCCTAATTAGTCTCAAGTCCTTTTTCTATTCTCATGGTCCCCTCTTATAAGACAATCTCTCATTCGCGTTTGTAGGAGCGATTAAAATATACGATTTTTTAGAGACTTTCCGCAAGTGCGAAAAGTGTTTATAATCCGCCAAAATGTTCCTTTATCGAGGTAAAATTTTAGCCGAACTGTGTAAACGAAGTTTTGAAAAGGCAGGATCTTTTAGGACTTGGTACGCCAACAACAAAACTTTGAGACAACTAACTATTGACCAAGACATACGTACTCTCTGCTCCCGATTTCATCTTAAACTACACGGACATCACAACGACATGACCAAGGCTGACATCCTCATCAGGAGGAGACTGAAAAAGACCTGGATGAGTGATCTCCTTTTCTGATTCAAGGATGTAAACAGGCCAGAGAAGACGTGCTACTGGCTACTATTCTTTATCATGCCATTTTGTACCGTAACAACAAATCTGCTAATTGTCACTATTATGACAGCTGCGGATGGATATTTGAAGATAGAAAAAAAAATTGCCATGCTTGTTTAGGTTACTTATAACTTACTAATGTTTGTATTAATAAAAACCTATTTAATGAATTATACTTTAGAAAAGTTTGGAAGGGAAATTGAGTTGCTACATAACACGGTTTACTCATAAATCAATAGAAAATACAAGTGAGAGATAAGCAAAATCATTGAAATACACATCAGATATGCCAAGAACAGTTTATAGAATCAATGTGAATGATGATGTAAAAATATTATGGCTCAATTATCATCAATTATTGAAGAATTATTTTGAAGGTTGTCTTTTACTGCAGTTATAATAACTAAATACAATCTCCAGAAAATTCAGGAAAAATAGTTATGAAAAAAAATATTTCCGAGGTTTTTGGTATATGATACTGATATTTCCCGGGACCAAATATAAACGAGTTTTAAATACTTATACTTATACCTTACCGAGGTTGTTGTAGTGCATTTATCACACTTTATTTTAAAACACTTCCACACAAATTTATCAAGTATTTTCTTACAAGGCTGAATAATCATGTAAGAATTTCATGACCCAAAACTTTTTCTTGGAATCAATCAAATTAAAGTATGTTTTATACCTAAATAAAGAACTAAAAGTAAATAATCAAAGATGTAGTAGTGAAATATATTTATTCAACCTCTATATATATTAAAATGCTCAAAATACAAAAAGGTCAAATTTTTGAAAAATTTAATAATTCCATATTTTGAACTGGTTCTTAACCCCTCATTGGCCGCTAGATCAATCAATGGGTTGTCGCGCCTGAGACTTTTTCTCACATCACGTATTTTGTGGCCTTAACCACGGATTTTTATTATTATTATTTTTTTTATTAAAGATTTTTTATTTATTTTTAAAATTTGTTGATTGATAATTTTGTTTACATGGTCTTTATTAATGCGTATTTATGAAAGAAAAAAAGAGTATTCCAGAAACAAGTCAACAGAATTATAAAAAGTTCAAAAATACAAATTTGATTATACATTAGCTCTAAACCTGAAATAAAATTTGTATATATAGTTTTTAACTTTTTGACCTTTATATTATAATGTGTATTCACACTTAAGTTTATGCCTCACTGGTAAGTATAATAAAAACAAAATTAACTTCCTATAATTATTTATTGTACGTTTCGGAGAATCTGCATCCCCCTGCTTAACAATCTAAAAAAAATATAGCAATATATTTTAGGTTCAATGTAGAAACCAGTTAAACAAACTAAAATATACAACACAAAAAAACAACTTTTCAAATTAATATAAATTATTTTACAAAAATTTGTTAAAAAAATATAAGTTACTTACATTTTATTCTCCCAAAATATTATAGGTTTTTAACATTACTTTCTAATTAACTTTAATAAAATTCATCTATTTTTTTTTCAAATTTGCCTCTCACAAGTGGAAGAAAAAAAGCTTATCTCAGAGTCTCTTCAGTGAATGTAATTATCCTACAGAACCCCTTTTATCAAATTATTACCATCCTTCTAAAAACTTGGTGATGGCTCTAATAGGAACATGCAAATTTTTTATCCATGAAAATTTTCGGACATGGGACGTTTTAAATCTGGAGATCGGTAAAATTTGTCTTTTTAACGAGATACTAAAAAAACTCATTAACATCCATTTCCTTTCCACTTGAATTGTAAGGTAATTTGATAACAGGATCGAGAAAAAGGGATCCTTCAAAAATATGTGACGTCAATCACAACACGTCAAAATATACAGTTATACAGGCTACAACGACCAATATTTTTGTAAAGCACCTTATTTTCGATTTCATGATCAAATTATCTTTCGATTTAAGAAAAAAGCAAATGAATTTTAATGATATTTTATTAACTCATTAAATTAATTAAGTACACGAGAAATCACCCGATTTATGAGCATTTTCGAGGATTAAAATGTTCTAGGTTACTATGAGTTAAAGATATTCACGATGTTTCAGAAGGGTTAATAATTTGACAAAAACGGGTCTGTGTTTAGTTATGAATGGATTTTAGATGACTCTTATTTATTCATTTATTTTTTTAATTTTTAAAATCAAGTGTAATCTACTTTTTGTTTTCGAATAATTTTTTAATCATTAATTATTTGTACATATCCCTTTATTAGTGAAGTTCATATATTATTTTAATTTTATCATTTTCTTACTCATTAATTATTTGTACATATCCCTTTATTAGTGAAGTTCACATATTATTTTAATTATATCATTTTATTTACTCTATTACGACCTATTAGTATAATTGTATATTTTTGCTTTAGTTTATTTATTTATTATTTTGATTCGTCCTTAATTGTTTATGTTTCTTTTTCTTGTATATGTGAATGGATAGTATTGCCCTTGGATAATAGTTTTATTCGCTTTTATTTTATTCAATAATAAAAAAAACTTAATTTACTTTGAACAAAAAAAGTGCACTATTTTTTAAAAATTTAAATGCATTGTTTTATTTTTTAAATTGATTGTTTCATATTTTGAAATAGATTTTACATCCGAGAACTGTTTTAGAACTATTTAAAAATAAATAATACAAAACCTTTTAAAGTTGAATTAGCTCTTGGTGTTTTTTTCTTAGCAACATGCTATTTTAAAGTTTAGTCAGCTTTGTAGTTTAAAATGTATTTGATTTTGATAAGAAAAAAAAAATGAAATTTTATTTTTTGTTTCGGTTACAAGGCATTGAATAAAGTTTTAATGAACTTAAAATAAAATTACATTCTATGCAAATAAGATAATTTTTGTAGTTAAGTAGGGCAGTTTTAACTGACATATACCGTTAACAGAATTAAACGGTATATTTAAAAATGTATGTTTATTTATCAACATTAGCTGTAAATATGAGATGAATGTGATCTTTATATTACAGTTGTGCTCTATTGAAATAGAATCTAAAATAATTCAATACAAGAAGTTTTTATATAATATGTATATATTATAACGATGATCTTTATTTACCTAAGTGTTTACTTAATTCCTCCACTTCTCCTTCTAGATTATGATAACGTTCTCCAGGAACACCTTCAAAGACAAATTATCATTGATTTACAGTAAAATAATAATAATTTATTTATTTAAGCCTAATTTTTGTTTCATTACTAAATATAATAATGTTTAATGATAAAACATATCACTACTAAATAATAAGTTGTGCGCGGTGTGTGAATGGTCATATATTAAAGAATGGCGTTTCCACGGTAGAGTTGATGGAGTGAACGGTGAGAAACGGCATTTGGGTTAAGCTTCAAAGATCACTTTGAAAAAAAAATTTTGACGCCCATCTTACAATGATTTTAAGAGTAATGCAAAACTAAACTATATAAAAATGTTTGGAGACAAAAATCTATAAACAATACATAGTGTAAACTAGTGTTGCCCAATTGCAACTTCTTCTTAGTTCTTGCAGTTACCTCTTAAATTATTGCTATTTATTAAACATGTTTCTTAAGATTATTGAAAAACGCTACAGAATAGGTACATTTAGTTGTTTTATTGACATAAACATAGTCAAGTCCAGCCATATTAATAAAATTAACTTTACAATACATTAAATATCAAGAAAAATAATGATAGGTTCTCACCTTGGAATGGAAAAGTTGTAGAGTAAAGATAATCTATTCAAGTTCACCAATCATTAAAATAAAACATTTGGTGTATCCCCTCATATGACTTTTCTACCGATTTCAAACATTTTTTTATTTTTTTTTAAATGTTCATTAAATATAACACAATTGAATTAGAATAATTTTCCTGATAACTGATCAGAGAAATCATTAGAGTACGATTTCTTTGATAAATTAAAGCAATGTAAACGGACACTTGTGCAATTATTAAAATAATTGTACACAATTCAATACACTGTAACGTTGCTAAAACTATTCCGATTTAGATGGTTTTTTTTTTCATTATTTTGTCGGAAATTCAATGAACTTTTAAAAATGTTACCACCAAATACTATTGAAATATTACCTAATGGTAAAATTTCAGAATGGGAAAACTTAACTGAACACCGAGTGTAACATTGGAAGAGTTAAATGCTTAAGTAGATCGGTTCTAATAATTCTTTACATTAGGTTGTAACTAAAATTGTCTAGTATTAATAATTATTTCGCCTTACTTTTTATTCACACAAACGATTTTTTTTTTTACTACTCTTAGTTTCGATTTTGCAACAATTAGGCGTCACTGGTTTTTGGCAACACTGGTATATAAAATTAATGTTCACATTATCTATATCTATATTAAAATATACATCATTTTTATCCATCTAAGTTAGTTATTTTCTAAGCAACCTAAGTAATTATTTCAAATTATGAAAGAAAATTAATTACCTTGGGTCTCCGTCGTTTGTAAAATCTGCAAATCGTCGAGAATTTTAGACAAATATTTCAAAGTCGAATGAATGTTTTTCGTCAGTTCAACAATTTGTTGTTTGTTTGGACCTGAAATTGTTACATAATATCCGATTAGTACAATGCAATAGAAAATACTTATGTTTTATACATGTTGTATATTTAAATAAATTGCCTACACCATGATAGTTAATATTTAAGTCAAACGATTCAATAAAAAATAGAAGCTGATCCGGAATCCATTGATTATTCTGTTTTAAAATCATAAGGTAAGTTGGATTAAAAGACATAAGCTCAAATTCTCAGATCTACTAGTAAAACAAATAAATAAGTTAATAATTCAGAAAATATAAAATTTATTCACTATTAAAATTGTTTTCAACTCGTTTTATGGTATGTATGAGGGAAATAATTTATGTTTGAATTCAATTATTTATTTCAGAAGTGACTCGTATGAAATTTTCATAGAATAAACGCGTTACACGACAATCTGACAACCCGAAGTTTATATGATGAAATAACTACAAGTTCCCTTACCGAAGCTGGGAAGGCTTTAATCCCCCGTCATCTCCCATGGTCCGGGGAAAACCAGTATAGCCTAAAGGCGACGCAGAGGTGGAAATTAAAAATTTTTCATAGACACATTTTTAATCCAAGAATGATTGTATAAGTGAGATAGTTTTTTAAGTGGTATTTTATCAAGTAAATTTTTAGTGTTATAGATGTTTTTTTTTTTAATTTGTTAAAATGTCTCAATTGAAATGAATGATTCAATTCAGTTTTTTTTTTTTAGATTTCAAAACTTCAGATAAAAATACTCGAACGTTAAGCTGAATGTGTCTAGTTCTCACTTTTCTAAAATACAGTATTTAAAGTACCATGCATTTTGTATTTTTAAGATATAATGCATTTTAATTACAGAAGGGAGTTTATCGACTGTTCTACAGGTCATGAGTGATAAATATTCAGGACGCACTCATTATAAAGTTTTTATTGGTGCCGATGTTTCAACCCAAACATGTGGGTCATCATCAGGGCGTGATTCGAGCACTGAAGGTATTCAAGTACTCAATCAATATTTTAATTACAGAGTATTCAAATTGGTTTAAGAATAAGTATTTTAAATTATTTCAGAATCAAAATACTTTCTAATTGAAGATCAGCATATAATACAGGGTACAGCATATAACATATAACCTACAGCATATGATATATAAGCTATTTGGTAATTTATTTTGTGTATTTAAAATAGAGTATAGAGTACATATAATACAAGTTTTCTGTAGTTTGTATTTTAAAAACCAAATGAAATTACAAGCAATCTATATTTTATTTTATTTATATCTATTTTATATTTTACTTCTAAAAATTAAAAATACAAAATAAATGAATTTATTTTGTATTTTAAACAACTTTATTTGAAATACTGTCCAGCTCTTGTTTCAATTAGCGGAATGAAGAAATGCATTTGATCAGCTCGTACTTATATATACATATACATATATACAAAAATATTCATATAAACAAATAAATATATTAAAAATAAGAATACATACCTTTCTCGTTCACGCTAGAATGTTCAGGTCTGACGGAATCTAAAAAAATATAAAAATTATCAGTAATTATTTTATAGATGTATGTTATCCCATAGCTGAAAGTCCGTACCTTAAAGGCTTATTATTGCTCATACCAAATAGAGTTAAAATATTTGACGGTGAAAAGGATTTGTGCCACGTTTTCTGTTACTCTTTTAATGTTTCTGTTGATATTATCCTGTTTTTCTTTGTTTGTTTACATCTACTTTCAGTCTAATATCTTTTTCTACTAAGAGTTTTCTTATATTTTAAAATTTTACAGTTATTTGCTCTGTAATAGTACTATGATTTTTATTAGAATAACTATAAATATGAGGCCAGTTCTTCGTTTGGAAACAATATTTTACTATTTTTTTTGTTTTTAATTTATGTATTTAGAAATATAATAATCTTTCACGTGGACAATAATTATAATGAGATATGAAAACATTCACACCATACACACAGAAAACATAAAATTAACAAATGTTTTTTTTTTATTTATTTATGTGATATTTACAACTGTATACAAAAAATAAATCTGGTAAATTCGCACATAGATATAATGACATGGAACCCATGTTGAGAAACTACCCATTGGTAGCACTCTAACAATATGTCTATATTAGAAGATCACGTGGCCATCTTCTTTTCAGACGCCTCGGAGGGTTATCAGGAATTGAATAGGAAACAAGGTTAGAAACAAGGGGGTTGGGATGGTTATGAAGTTTATTATGGAAGGACAGATATCTGGATTGGGCCAAATCTGATACATAAGGAACATTAAGGTGATTATGGATAATTTTATTTGTAACAAAGTAAGGAGCATTGAGGATTTTACGAAGGATTTTGGATTGTAAGGATTGGATGCGAGAGGAATTTGAAAGTTTGGTGGAGCCCCATAGCTCATAACAAATGTAAAATAATAATAAAAACTATGTACAATAAAAATAAAATAACCTTGATAAGTAAATTAAAAACATAAAACACAGTCATACCTATGTACATATCTGCAATGTACCTATATCTGCAATTAGGCAGCGAATCCCATGCCAGGCGTGTCCCTCCAAACATAGAAGTAAAAGCAGAACTCCAAGAGATCCCTACGCTACTCTCTCAACCGCGTCACTGGTGGCTAAACTCAGTGGAGACTGATCGAGAGCGATTCAGGCACATACACGCATGACTAGATTTTAAAGAAATCATAAGAAGGATTTGACAAACAATACTAAACGGCAAGTAAATGAAAATGATATATATGTATTTTTTTTTTCTCGGATGGCTCTACAGACCTTGTAGATCTTTGGCCGCCTGAACCAGCCTTCTCCACCTCTGCCTATCTTGGGCTACTGCTTTCCAGTTTGCTGCATGGAGCTCAGCCGTATCTTTGTTTATCCTATCTATCCATCTGGTTTTTGGCCTCTCACGTGGTCTCTTGCCTACTAATGTGGAATTCATTGTCGTGTAGAGGCGTCCTGATGGATTACTACGATCTACATGCCCTGCCCATCTTAACCTCCTTGCCTTCATGTCACGAGATATTGACTGACCCGTTTCTTTCAACTGTTCTTTAATGTTCCTTCTCCTCCATGTGCCAAGGGTCTGGTCCCATATAGGTCCTGTTATCCTACGTAGTACTTTTCTTTCGAATCTCTCAATTCCGGCTTCTAATGTGCCGGTTAGAACCCAGGTTTCACAACCGTACAGCAGAACTGGCTTAATCACGGCGTTGTACAAACTTATTTTGAGATTTCTAGAGATTTTTCTGGAACTTTACTTTATTACTTCAGTAACTTTGAAAGAGAGAAGAAAGATCTGTTCGCACTTGTTATTCGCTGGTGTATCTCTGTTAGTTGATCATTTATTGAGGTTATTGTGGAGCCGAGGTATTTGAATCTATCAACTTTCGGGAAATGACTTAGAATCCACGCAGATTATGTTATTAGGGAGGATATTTCGGCTAACTATAATTTCTTTTGTTTTATCTACATTGACCTGTTGTCCGATTTGCTCTGCTTCTTTTAATAGAGTCCTAGCGAGTCTCTCAATATCCTCTTGATTACTTCCGAGGACAGCTATATCATTGGCATATGCTAAAATTTTATTTTATTTATTTATTGTTACAATCCGCATCTACCCGAGCGGGTCATTAGCGGCTTTAGATGTAATCAATCTACTTTTCATGTTTCATTCCAACATGCACTCCTCCATCTTCGCGTGATGTTATTCTTATTACTTTCTCTAGTGCTAAGTTGAACAGCATAGACAAGAGTCCATCTCCCTGCCTCAAACCCGTTCGAACTTCAAAGGCTTCAGATACGTCTCCTTGATTAGTACCCTGCATTTAGGATCATTTGTACACACCTTCGTCAACCTCACTAATTTCCCGAGAACACCCAGCTCAGTCGTGATCTTCCAGAGACAGTTTCTGTCAACGGAGTCATAGGCTGATTTGAAGGAATGTGTTTTGATTAGTTAGTTTGGAAGAGTTTTATAAGACTCCAAAAGCGAATCTAACAAAAATTGATTTGACCTAATTTATAGGAAGCGTCTTTTGGATTTTATAATTGACAATGTATAATTATTTAATATTATCGGCAATTTTTCTCTAATTCAATCAGAAATCGATTGGTAAATAATTACTTAAAACAAAGGTAAAAACAATAATATAAACATTGAAACGAACGTCAGAACGCATGTTTAATATTTTTCGATATAGAATCATCAAAATAAAAAAAATACCAAATATTGCTCGCATAACGATTTATTTTAATTGTTTCGATTTGTTCAGAGTTTAAAGGACCAATAACTCTGGTAACGGAAACCTATTTTTTGAAAATACAATGGAAATTTAGATACCTTTTCTTATATTAATTTTGTTTGACATTTCGTATTTATTCGGTATTAAGATCCATTATATGCTATCGGAGAGATTTTTTTAAATACTGTCGATTTTAACATTGACCACTCCCGAAAATATTGTGATAGTATTCGGTTGGCAAATAAGTCATTTCAGTTTTTCAGGGTGAAATATAACTCAATGTATTATGAACATAAAATTTATTTTAATCTACAATATATTAATAATATATATTTGATATGACTTTTTCTCATCTTTCCACTAACTGCATAACGCCATGTTCATAGAATTTCTGGAGTTTATTGTTAAGAAACTGATCCAAGTAGCTTTTGATATCTTCTTTTTGGAATTTCTTCGTATTCATGGAGTTCTGGAAAGACCAGAATAAGCGGTAGTCACTTGGAGCTAGCTGACGAATAAGGAGGGTGTGGCAAAAGGTCGCCTCCAAGGCTCAATATTTATTGCGAGTGACCAATGAGGTGTGGCACCTACCGTTGTCTTGGTGGAACACAACAACCTTCCGATCATTTATAACTCTTCTGGATACTCTCCAAATTAAGTTTTACTATGTCCGTTGGAAAGCTGAATTATTGCTCTTTAAATCCGTATGAATGATTTTTTGATTAAATACCTACGTAAGGAATAAATAAACGAAAACTGCTCATCGGTTTTTATCTTTTATCTCCATTTGTAATTTATTGTTAAGGTCCTGTTGATTTCACTTTGTGTAGTTTATGTAGCCCTAAATTCCTGCCAAATTTCTTGGAGATAGCTAAAGTCGTATTGAGGTTATAAAATTTTTTTTTTGTGATTTCAGAAAAACTATTATGTGAGGGACCCAAACGTTAAGCCTGGAAACATAGCCGAAATGGTTTTCTACGCTTTGGTCCGACACATTTATCATTGTGACATAAAAATAAATAGAAAAACCTAAATCACTTATTTGCCAACCTAATAATATCGATAGTAAAATAACGAACCTCAATATTGAAGAAATTCAAAACATTATAACTGAAGAGCCAGAAGTAATAGAAACGTAAGTTAATTATAAAGGATTGAGCTATAAAGCTCCACTAAACCATCGAATTCCAATCTTATCCAATCCTTACATTCCAAAATCCTTAATTAAATCCTCAATACTCATTACACTGTCACAAATAAAACCATTCATAATGAAGTTAATCTTTCATATGTTTCAGATTTGGCCCAATCCAGATACCTATCCTTCCATAATAAACTTCATAACCATCCTAACCCTCTTGTTTCTAACCTTGCTTCATCTTCAATTCCTGATAACCCTCCGAGGCGTCTGAAAAGAAGAGGGCCCCGTGATCTCCTAATGTAGACATATCATTGGGCTACCATTGGGTAGTTATTCAGCAAGTGTTTTCATGTCATTATATCCATATGTTCAAATTTACTAAATTTATTTCTTTAATACAGTTGTAAATATCACTATAAAAAAAAGAAGGTATAAAGGAAAATTAGCAACGAATTTATTTAAAAATTAAGTCACATAATGAACAAAATAGAAAAAAGTAAATGGATGGATGAATGGTAAGAAACATGATATGGATTAAGATTAATTAATGATACTATAAATTAGTTTTGGAAAGCCTTATATACAATTTTCTAAAAACAGCTGAGTTTGAGTTCTGTCTCTTTCGTTCTGAATGCGCAATTCAATGGCAATGATCGATTACAGTAGGGACTTTCAGAGGTGGAACACACTATACAAGTATAGATATATAAACAAATAAATGTATTCAAAAGAATTGAAATGTTTACCTGAGTTTTTCAAAGCTGGAAATGCGTTGCTAAATATTTTAAAAAAATAAATACTAATGATAAAAAAGAAATACTTAAAAAAATACAAACTTACGTTATAGATATAGTAATTACTTTATAGTTTTGTGTAAAATACGTTATTATAAATGACTTATTTACATGAATTTATTGTTTTAAATTTTATTAAGCCTGTAATATAAATTTATTATATTTTATCAGGTAGTTAAAATGAACACACGCATAATTACCTCATCCTTCTACTAATACACATATACTAAATTAACCATCTACGAATGCAATTTGTAATATTTTATTCAAATAAATGATAAAAATAATAATTTTAATTTTTTTTTCTTAAACATAATAAGAATACTCCATTTGTTTTAGATATGGGGCTCCACTAACCCTCGAATTCCTCTCGTATCCAATCCTTATAATCCAAAATACTTCGTAGAATCCTTAATGCTCCCTACTTTGTCACAAATAAAACAGTCCATAATGACCTTAATGTTTCTTATGTTTCAGATCTGTCCGAATCCAGATACCTATCCTTCCATAATAAACTTTAGAATCATCCCAACCCTCTCGTTTCTAACCTTGCTTCCACTTCAATTCCTTATAAAACGCCGGGGCGTATGAAAAGAAGATGTGATCTCCTAATGTAGACATATCATTAGAGTGCTACCATTTGGTAGTTTCTCAACAAGTGTTTACCCGTCGTTATATTCATATGTTCAAATTTATTAAATGTATTTCTTCTATACAGTTGTAAATATCATTAAGAAATAAAAAACATAATAAGAATAACTATTGTAATATTCAAAATATATTTTGAGTAAAATATCGACATTCCAAAAATTGTTTACCTTAAAAGAACGAAAGGGTAAACCACCAAATACTAAATTTTAAAAGTTTTTTTGAGTTATTTTTTTTTAATTTTACGAATGTTCTACAACTAGTGTTGAAGCAGACGGCATCGTCGAGCAGCTTCTTGTCGTTTCAGTCTTGTGTGAGGATTCTAAGTAAGACGTTTGTCCAAGTCAGGTCCTAGTTGACAGATTTGTTTAACAGGGATTAGTGGAATATTATGTGATTAGAGGGTTTGGGACGCAATTAAAGGGGTTAGTTCTTAACAGATAGCTTACACGTGTCATCGGCGTACGTGGTGATGGGAGTGTCAGGATGGGATAGCTGTGTAGAGGATAAGACAAATTATATTACCCAGAGGAACACCCGCAGACTGAGCAACGAGGTTTGAATAACTATTATTGTGATTTAATTTTAAGTATTTATCTGTTAGATAAGAACAGATGATGAGAAAGTGTGGATGAGAATAGGAATTGACAGTTTGTACAGCAGTCCCGGTTGACTGACGCGATCGAACGCCTGTTCAACATCAAGAAAGTCTCTTGTGCAGTTCATTCTGAGCTCCAATGCAGAGGTGACATAGTCTACTACATGATGACATTGCTGGATTGGGAAATTTGATTTGCAAAAATCAGGGATTGTGTGGAATATATGATTGGGGATAGGCGTATTAAGATGAGTTTTTCCAAGACTTTGCCCATGATAGTTAATAGATAGATATGACGGTAAAAGAAATGCATTTTCGGGTAGTTTTTTTTTTTGTTTTATTGGGCTTTGAGGCGTAAAACGCTTGGGTCGTCAACGCCTGTTTGTTCTTTATTTTTGTTGTCTAATGCTTAGAAACTTCTTCGAAAAAAAAAGTATATATGTTTATATACATTTCTATACTCTGTTAAATAATCGATGAGTTTTAAGGAAATTTATAACTGTTTTTATATTTGATTCGTCATTATTTAATGTAGCTGAAATATCCTTTGCGTGGAGTCCCAGGAGCCAGTGGACAGTCGAAGGAAGTTGGGTCCCTCTGTTCCAAATGCGGCAGAGAGTCTGAAACACCAGCTCATGTGCCGGGAAAATGTCCCCTTAATTCCCTTCAACAATTCCCTCCTCATAATACGCCGGCACCATAGGGTCAAGTTCGAGTTGACGTGGCTCCTTATAAAAAAATAATTCACCTGTTTTGACGAGGTCTAATGCATCGATAGCGAAAGCTTTACAAGGTATGCTGACATAGTTGCTGACATTTCCCAGGACTGGAGGGACGGCGCTGATCTTGGATCCTACTGCCCGCTTTCAGAGCAATGACCCCGACCAGGCAGGTGAAGTGGAAAGGGAAAAGAGGAACATCTAAGATAAATGTATCCATTTTCTGAAAGAGAAATTCCGCGAGACCTTCGGAGAGAGAGAGAGAGAGAGTTCACCGTGATGGGCGTCTGGTTTGTGTTTGGCGGAACGATTCCAAAAAGAATAAGGAGCTTCATGAAGGAACTAGGTGTTGATGTTGGGGAGCTTGCGATATTGGCGGAGAATATTATCCTGGACTCTCTGGGAATCATTCACCGTTACTTATATAGTAATTTACCATAAATTGAGGATGTTTCTATTATTTATTTATTCTGTTTTAAATTGTTAGCATCGTCTTGTCTGTTTGTCTATAGTTGTGGATATATGTGTGTGCAATTTAGTGTTGGATTCTTAGGATTCAAATTTGTTTTTTGATGTGTATGTTATGCAATGTTGATGGCTCAGTGTAGTTATTAGTTTATATTTTATAACACTATGTGGTAATAGAATAATGTAATATATACATTATGTCCAATTGGATTGATCGGTATGCTGTGTGTAAAGCAACCCTATGTAGTAGGGCAGTACTACTTTCAATAAAGTATTTATCTCATATAGTAAATATGTGCATAGTAGGTAGCATCAATAAAACCAATTGGGCCAGACCAACCATGGCTCTTTTCTATTTTCTATATTTTGGCAGCGTTTCGAGACTTATTGATTAAGAATCACGTTATTGAATAGTAAATAAACAATAAAGATTGAACAAGTTTTAGGATAATAGTTAAAATGCTAGTATTATTCTTTATATATACATATATAAATAGAATATAATAACCTTGATTTAAAAATAAATATTTATCAGTTAATAATAATTTTAAAAACTTCTTCATATTATTTTATTTTGAAGAATTATATTATTTTAAAGTTGCAAAGGATGAGATGGAAATTATTAATGTCCTATATAGAAAAGTAAGTATTCATTTGCATTATATAGTAGAATACATATAAATTCATTGTTACTAGATTTCGTGACAATTTTTAAATTATAACTAAAAAATAAATAAATTAATAAATTACCTCCTTTGTTCAAGACCTGTAAAGCAGAGAGATCGACGATCATTTGATTCAAACTTTCCATTGTGTTATTAATCCTTCGACCTACTGTTTCACGATCGAATGATTGTGGCACTGGCTGATCTGTAACTGTTCAATTTATATAATACGTATGTGACCCATGCACTATAAAATATTATTTGGTTTGAAAAACTCAATTTAGGTCAGTAAAATTGACTGCTATTATGAAGACATGAACAAATATTACGTTTTTCATAAAAAAAAAAAAAAATAATGATAATATTTCTTTCATAATCTTACTTTTTTTAACACGTCAACAAACTGTAGGAACTCACAAGGGGAGATTACGTGGGTCACGATTTTAACCATTTTTTTTTTCTTTTTTGTGATTCTTTTTGCGAAAACATTTGCCACATAACCAGGCATTCGTTCCAATGGGTCTTATTAATCGAGAAAAATGATTTTTTGATTTGTACCGCAGACTATTTGTATCATAAAGTGGTTCCTGTTTCTTGTGTTGCTTATGGCCTTTACAGATATAAAAGATGAACTAATTTTTTATCTAAACAAACAAACTAATCAATTATTTGTTTTTTGTAGAAATAACGTTACTTTTCAATAGAGTTTTATGAGCTATTACTTAATTTATTTATTTAGTTCGATTACTTTTCGATTCGATGATATCACGGTTTAAAATATATACTGCATGTTTTTGCACAATTAAACACATTTATTGATATTTCTCAGATTTTGTAGTTCAGAAATCTGTATTCTAGACAATATATTGAATTTATGAAAATAGGACAAAATGAGGGATGAAATATGTCTAAAATGGTCAAAAATGTTGGATGACACGAACGCTCTTGATTGGCTCTCCACACCAGTGTAGCGACTGGAATTTCCTGCTTTCCCTTCCAAATGTAGAGGAAATTAGTTCCCTGGCCAACGATTCGGGATATTGGGAGAAAATAGAAAAAGAGACTTTAACGCCAAAAGAAAAAGATTCATGGGGATGTACCTCTAATAGTCACTATAACCCATAATAGTCATTCATTGTAAAAAAAATAAAATAAAATAAATTGGGTGTTATTATCGAGTTTGGAGGATAAACTTGCTAAGATCGGTGGTCCTTGTAAAGAAAGATAGTCGGAGAAGAACTTCTTCTTTTGAAAAAGATCTTCTGAGAGGTGTCATCGAAGAGAGAATCCTTGAAATCTTATTAAATCAACCATACCTGACCACCTCAACATAATTGGGTTAGTGAAAAAAAGCCTAAAACTTGGGTTGCTAATAAGAAGAAAACATATGAAAGAATCAATTCTTATTTGCTCGGTAAGTTTAATCTACCAAAGAAAATTTTTAAAACCTGTTTTAATCAACAGAATTAAAAATTACAATACTCTACAAATTTTTAATAATGGCCCAATTTCTATGATTTGTTTTGTTCTTGAATGGAATTTAGAATTATTTAAGTACGGAGGAGAAGAATTTATAAGCAAAATACATTTACTGTTGGAGGATATTTGGAGTAGTGAAATCATGCCTCTGGAGTGGTGCACCAGTCTGATATGGCCGATATATAAAAAAGGAGTTAAACTCCAGTGCGAGAATTACAGAGGAATTTCTCTATTGGCTGTAGCCTATAAAATATTTTCAAGCATTATATCTGTGAGGCTCAACGTGTTTGCAGAGAACATACTGGATGAAAAACAGTGTGGATTCAGGAAGAGGAGAGGAACAACTCATCAGGTTTTTGTGTTGAGACAGGTAATGCCAAAAGCCTGGGAATATAAGATTGACCTGCACATGTTATCCGTAGAATACCGGCAAGATTTCGATAGAGTGATAAGAAGCAAATTAATGAGTACCATATGTAATGTCCATAATGAGCCTTACATGAGTACCAAATTCCAAAAAAATTAATAAGGTTTTTACAAATGACTATGAATAATAGCAATGCAAAAGTAATTATTTAAGGCAATGTAAGCTATAACTTTCCAATGAATAATGCAGTTGTTTAAGGGGATCCTTTGTCTGCCACATTATTTAATATTGCACTGTGTTAATAATGTGTTAAAAAAACTGGATTCACCTGGTTGCATACTTAACGCAATAGTGCAAATATGTGCTTACGCAGACTTGTGCTTATGCCTAATTACCAGGAATTTGAGGTTAATAAAGGAAATATTTAGAATATGGAAAGCCGAAAGTGAAACTGCTGGGCTGGAAATTAATCAAAATAAGACAAAATACATTTTCTATCAAAATACAATGCTCGGGGTCGACAATACGGCTGGTTCACAGATCATTGAAATATGTGGTTTCATCTTCGAGTGTGTAAACAAATTCACGTACCTAGGGGTGGAAGTGAATTCTGATAATAAAATCGCTGCACAGATGTAAAAGAGGATCATGGCTAGAAACCGGGCGTACTATGCCAATCTAAATTTTTTTTTTTTGTTTGCCAATCAATGCTCCTGTCACGAGAAACAAAGATAAGACTATATAAGACTTAAGTAAGCCCTATTGTGACTTATGGAGCGGAGACATGGACCCTTTGAACAAGCACAATTTATGTGCTGAATATTTTTGAAAGAAATCTGAATATTTTATGGAGCTGTTTTTAAACACGGTGTGTGGAGATATAGAAAAAATGTGATATATGAATTATATAATAGCGGCAACATAGTTCATTTCGTTAAAACTGGGCGTATGGAATGGTTAGGCCCCGTGGTTAGAAAGTACTACAGCAGGATGCCTTATAGGGCATTGTTCTCTACAATGTATGGCACAAAAAGAAAGGGAAGACCAAAGAAAATATGGCTACAAGACGTTGAGAGCGACCTTAGAACACTGGGCGTGAGGAACTGGAAGGAAAGAGCGAGCAATAGCAATAGATTGGCATGCTATTATTCAGGAAGCCAAGGCCCACAGTAGGCTGTAGAGCTGCATAGTAAGTTGGGAATTCAGAAACCTTTTGAATTGACTATGATCGATGGATTTAATTAACAATGAAATGGAACTTGTTAAATTATTCACTTTTTAAATATAAATAAATAAATAAATAAATAAATAAATATATATATATATATATATATATATATATATATATATATATATATATATATAATTTTATATAGTTAAAATAATATTACCTGTTTCATTTATGTGTACATCGGATCCATGTTCTTCATTGATTGCTGGGTTGTCAGAATCTGAGAAGATTCATAAATGACATAAAAAAATGATTCACTGCTATATATTAATGATTGGGGAAGCTAAAGAAATTATAAATGTTCTACCATCCATCATTAGAATTACATATCCCGTTAATGAAAAGGGACGAATTTTTTTATTTAATGTTAATATATTGAAATACAATGTTAAAATATACTGAAATACTATATTAAAAGATAAATTCCAATGAATGGTGAAACGATTTACCTGTTTCTAGCAATTGGTTAATAAGTATCTCCACATTTTCATTGTCATCTGGAATTGTTTCATTTATATTATCGAAATGGACTTCAGGGACTTCTTTGATTTCTAGAATTATTAATTTATATTATTCACATGTAACATCTGACACTCACATAAACACAATTTTTTTTTTTTAATATTCCTTTATTGAGCAATACATTTTGTCACAACTAAAGAAAATAGTGATACAAGAGTTCATTAGCACTGTTAACGCACACAGCGTTATCTTTCTTCAATTATTACTTATAATACATTTTAATTAGTAAATTTGTTATATTTTATTTTCATTTAGTTTTTAAGTTTAAATATTTAATTTTGAATGTATTATTTTCATTTAAAATTAAGCACGTATTGGAGGGGATTGATGTAAATATCCGCAGGAGTATCAAGGCGATCATAGGGCTCCCCGCTAGCACATCATCGGCGATGTTGTATGAACCAAGGAGGTATCGAGGATTGGGAATGATCCGCTGTCAATGGGAGGCTCCATTGCAATACTGGTCCATTGCCCAGGGACTGTCCAGTGTACCGGATACACTTTTCCGGTCTATATTTGATTATAACTCCGAAATAGCCGAATGTGCGAAGAGACCAGGTGTTGATCTGGGCCGAAGCATGAGAGCTCTACGACAGTCGCTGAGAGAAAATTGTTTTGAAGAATGAGCCAGTTGCAGATGGCAAGGCGTTGGAGTTAGGCACTTCAAAGAGACCCCGAAAGCTAATAAGTATACATGTCAGAAGCAAGTGCTTTCGGGGTTAGAATGGTCCAACGCTTTCAAACTTAATATCAACTATGAATCGTTGTGTGGAGTCTCCGGAGTCAGTGGACAGACGAAGCAAGTTGGGTCTTTCTGTCGCAAATGCGGCAGAGATTCTGAAATACCAGCCCATGTGCTGGGAAAATGAACCAACAACTCCCTCCTCATAACACGCCGGCACCATTGGGTGAAATTCGAATTGATGAGGCTCCTTAGAGAAAGGGAATACATATGCTTTGACGAGGTCTATTGTATTGATAGCGATGGATCAAAAAGACACGCGTATATAGTTCTTCAGGACCGGAAATGCAGTACTGGTCCTGGATCCGACTGTTCGCAATGAGAGCAATGACCTCGATGAAAAAACCCATGAAGTAGAAAGAGAAAAGAAGGAAATCTACGAGAAATGCATCCCTTTCCTAAAAGAGAAATTCCGCGACACCTTCGGAGAGAGAGAGAGAGTTCACAGTGCCTCTGGGCATCTCTCTGACAAAAGTCTCGCGGAATGATTCCTAAAAGTGCAGAGAGCTTCTTCGAGGAACTAGGTGTTGATGACGAGGAGCTTGCAGTGCCGAGGGTATTATTCTGGACCCCCTTGGGATCATTCGTCATCACATATATGGTAATTAGGGGTTGACTATCGTTATTTATTTATTTACTCAATTTTAAATTATTTAAGTAACCATATCTTTTTATCTATGTTCATAGGGCTATGTGACTTGCTGTGTGTGCGTTCTAATTTTTGGGTTTTAAAACTCTGGCATTCGAATACCGTATCTTTTTTTTTTATCCCTATAAATTTCAGAAGTTGTTTTGTATCAGTTTCACCGAAATATGCATATATTATAATATGTATAATTGTAATCGTATGTATTAGTTTATTAGAGTATTGATATGGTTTGTGCTATGTAATATGAAAAAGAATTTGTATATATATATATATATATATATATATATATATATATATATATATATATATATATATATATATATATGATCAAGTATAATTAAGTGTTATGTTAAAAAAAAAAAAAAGGATTGATGAGTATGCTGTGTATCTAGCAACCCTATATAGTCGGGCAGCACTGCTTCAAATAAAGCATTTCTCTCTCAATTAAACTATTCAATAAAAACAGTGAAAAATGTTCTATTAATTCTGTTAACTGAAAATATTCTCAGTAACTCCACAAGGTATCAATAAAATAGTTTATCTAGATTATAGTGTTCTAAAAAAAAATTATTTAAATAGATGTTGCGAGTTTTCCTCGTCCCACTGTACTACAGTGAGCTGTTTAAGAGAAATAGTAACTTAAGTGTAACATAAGCCCAATTCCTTGACCAACTTTTACAGCTCTAATTGTTTCGAAATAAAAATAAAAATTTTATATAAATAAAATAATTTTACCTGCTTCAGCTTCGTGTGGTTTGTTCTCATCGGTATTCTCATGATGGATTTCAGGGGGGTGGGAACCTGAGAAGATTCATAAATGACAAACAAATGATTCATCTCTTACGGAACTTAAAGTTTATTGGCTCAGTACAAAGTCCAGTCAAATTAAAAAAGGTACCTTGCAAAAGGTATTTCAGCTTTGAAAGACTTGTGAGTCCGCCATAGGACTCCAAACATCATTGAAATTTCGAATTTTTTATGGTTTACACTAAATATCTCCTTTGACTAGACCCTATTCAATTTAAAAGAGCTAACAAATATTTCTTTAGGTATTATTTTTTTAAGCACAATACGAAACGAGATATTGAACTTTTAAAAATTAATGTAGCACGTCAGCCGTTCCAAAACCGTCGCATTAAATAATGATGGCCAAGCCAATTTACAAAAAATTACCATCATAGAAAGATAGATAAATACATCAATGTATGTAAACAATCAATCTCTTTTGACTGAAATATATCATTTTTGTGCAGTCTGCCGTTTCTTACCGCAACTATACATAATTATAAAAAAAAAAATATATATCATCTTAGGAAGCTTTTCTAACGTGTTTAAATAAAACAACGAGATACCATACTTCATGTCCATAACCATTGAATGATAGAAAACAATGTTAACCACCTAGATAGAAACAATAATCTAATCAATTCAGTCTGATTGAAACTCTCAATAATGGTCAATTCATTAACCTAAAATCGCAATTTTCGCAATTATAGATAGGATAAAATAGGTACAGAAAAGGTAAATTGCTCAAAAACGATTTATTTTAGTATAAAAATGAACAATACAAGCGTATACCAAAGTTCCGTTTATCCTTCGTTGAGTATCATTTTTAGCAAATGTTTACATCTTTGTGAGGAAAATTTGGAAGCGGAGTAGGAGTACCTTACTGAAATTGTTAAGAATGGCGATGGCTCATTGAAGCAATTTGAGCTAAAAACATGACCCGTGATTAAATAAAATATGTTTAATCAATTCGCAAAGTTTTATAACGCTATTTTGTGTGAACGGCTGAATCAATTTTTAAGTTTGATATCTCAAATCATTTGGTGAGATCTCGGTGATGAGATTCGGTGAGTATTTTTGAACAGTTTGAGCTAAGAAGTTTGATCCGGTATAAAATAATTTTAAAAATATATAATACATAAATTAAAATGTAAATAAACACTTATTACAAAGAAAAGATTATATATACTCCAATAATCTAAGATTTAATCTAATTACCTCAGCATATATTCATACCGAAAGAGAACATATGCCCATAGTAATAGAACTTACTCATCTATTTTCCGATAATCTACTATTTTCCACAGTATTTATTACAAATATGTTCACTTTATATGATTATTATTTTTTATACTTTCCTTGATCTTATGGTAGGTCCAAAACATAATCTGTTTTTAAATATCACATTGCTTTATCACTTCTAATCCATACTTAAAAGTATACAAGATACAAATTTGAAAATTTTAATTAACATAATAAATGTGAAAACATCAGAAAATATTAAATATTAGATATGGAAAATATCACATTCACTAAATTTAAATATAGAAAAAAAGGAAGAAAAATAATTACCATCTTGATTTGGTTTTTGGTGTTTAGCTAAGTCGTGATACGTTTCATTGAAATGTCGGAATGACGTTTGGATTCTGTGCATTATTGCAGCAATGTCTGCTTGATGGTTTCTTGATGGGTTCTTGGTGGCTTCACTGGTTTCTAGAATTATAAATTTGTGTTATTTCTCAGTAATTTTTACATTGTATAAAAATATAAATAAACACACTTTTCCTTTTCTATTAAAATAGTTAAATAAAGCCCTGCTTGTTGCATTTTTATAAATTATTATCTTATTATCTTGACTAAAAATTAATTATATGAAAAATAAATGAAATTATATTAAATTAATATTTTTAATTATGAATATGACAATAACTTAATTTTAAGAATAAAAAATGTTAGATTTGAATTAAGCTAATATTGAGAAAATATCTTCCCCAGCCAATATTTTCTTGAGTTAGAATTTTTCCTGCTACCTTTGTGATACAGATTTGATTTTGTTAACTCATTCACTTCCCCAAAAATCTTTTATTTATCTATTAAAATACAGTTTTAATATTCGCATATTTCCCTAATTTGCCTAATTTTTCGAGAATTTTTATCTTCTTCGTCAGGAAAAAAATCTTTTGAGCAATGATATCCCTTAGTAGTGGAATATAACTCACATAGAATATATGTTCTACAGACTACGAGTGATTTCTTGTAGAGGCTCGGTGTTGGAAGAGCGGGGATGAAGACTAAAGCAGGGAATATTATTTTGGACTCATTGGGAATACTCCATCACCATATATATTAATCTTTGTCTATGCTTATTCGTTTCTCTATACTATTTTTAACATATTTGCTATATATTAAAATGGTAACAACTTGCTCTCTTTTGTTTTGTTTTTTGCATAATATCTATTGGACTGATAGGTATGCTGTGTGATTTATCAATTCAACCCAGTTGAGCAGGCATGCAATATTATTGTAGTTCTCTTTTCTATATTTTTATTTCATATTTTCATCACTACTCTTTCCAAAGATTAAAAATAAAGAAATGGAAATTTCGATTTGTTTGCATTATTTCAAAATACTATTTCGGTTTAATTAGTTTTTTAAATTAGTGTTTTTATTATAATATCATGAGACGGTTTAATTTAAATTAGTTTTAAGGGCTTTTTTTCCAATATTCTTTTATGTCTTTATATTTTTTTTTTTTTTTAATTTTAATAGCTTATTTATTGAAATATATTACAATCTGTCTCAGGGACAATGTCTTTATATTATGACTACAAAAACGAAAATCTCGTAAGATATGGCAAAGAACTCATTAACCATCTGACAAACACAAGTTTAACACACTAACGTTCAAAGACAGAAAATTTTGATAACTTCTCTAATGGTTTAGCAATTTGTGAGACTTGAACTTTGGAAAATAAACAAACGGATTCAACAGCATCATGATATGCCACATCCTCTCAGACATCATGATGGTTACTGGGCAAAGTAAGATGCTCAAAAAGCGCAATTGTTTGCTCGCCACCTCGAAGAAACGTTTAATCCTCATAATGACATAAATGACATACTCTCTACTACAATTGTACAAAGTCATCTTAACGTACCCTTACCTATGACATTACCACGAAAACCAATTCATCCTTACGAAGTTCAAAATTTAATTCAGAGCTTGCCTATGAACAAAGCTTCGAAATTTACCATGGAAAGCAATTCTTTATCTAACAAATATATACAATTATTCTACAAATATATACTATTTGGAGAATCACACATTTCCCCACACTCTGGAAATATTCTGAAGTTGTCATGGTCTTAAAACCAAATAAATCCTCAGACTCTCCAAATTCCTATCGTCCGATCAGCCTTCTTCCTTCCTTTTCTAAATTATTTGAAAAACTTATTCTTCGTCACCTTGATTCTCTCGATATATTTAAATTTATTCCAAATCATCAATTCGGCTTCAGAAAGCATCACTCAACTGTTCAACAATGTCCTCGATTGGTAGATTATATTTCTAATTCTTTAGAATCCAAACATTATTGCCCTGGAGTTTTTCTTGACATTAGTCAAGCCTTTTATAAAGTTTGGCATGAAGGATTGCTCTCCAAACTTAAAATTTTACTTCCTCCGACCTACTATCTAATATTCCTTTCACATCTAACGGATAGACATTTTGTAGTAAAAGTAGGGACAGAACGGTCTGGCATTAAACCTATTAAAGCAGGAGTGCCTCAGGTTAGTGTCCTTGGACCAATATTGTTTAATATATATATGTCTGACCTACCGGAACACAATGACACAATACCGGCTACTTTTGCAGACGATACCGCAGTCCTAAGCTCAAATAAAAACCCTGCTCGAGCATCTACCACTCTTCAAAATCATCTGGACGATATTGCCGATTGGGCCACAAGGTGGAAAATTAAGATGAATGAAAAAAAAAGAAATTGTGCATGTGGTATTCACTCTTAACCATAAACCTTCACCTGAAATATATTTTAATAACATTAAAATTCCAACATCAGTCGTAATTAGGTATTTAGGTTTTTACCTGGACAAAAGACTTACTTGCAGGACTCACATCAGACAAAAACGAATAGAATTAAACATACGATACGGTCTTTTATCTAGATTACTTGAAAGACATTCAAAATTATCTTTAACTAACAAACTAACCCTTTATAAAGTTTTACTTAAACCTATTTGGACTTAAGGCGTAGAACTGTGGGGTTCTGCTAAAACTTCCAACATTAAAAAAGTTGAGTCCTTTCAGTCCAAAGTGTTGCGAAGGATAGTTGACGCACCGTTTTATGACGCAAATGATACACTACATAAAGACTTAAACGTACCTACAATTTTAGATACTGCAAAGGAGAAATACAACAACTAAAAGGTGAGGAAGTGAAGAGACCAAAAAAAAAAAAAAATATTTAAATTAAATCATCCACCATAGATGGATAATATTTTTAATAATACCTCTTTAATTATATTTTCTGCTGGTTCGAGGTTCGATCTTACGGTTTTATTACGGATCTATTTATAATCGGTATTGTCATTCATAGAAATGTCGGACTTGAACTATCGAAACTATCCCGAGTCAATATTTTCATCGATATTATTCAATTTTTTAAAACCAGTAATTTTGAAATATGAATATAAATATTTATTCTCTAGCTCATAGGCGCATCAAAAAAAGATGTTATTTTTCTCTTTAAATTAATGAACGGAAATATACTCCTCAGTAAAATTAACTTCCCGGTTCCCGTAAATCTTCGACGTCCTCAGTTTTTTTTCAACAAGTTTCCATTCACTCCTAGATCGGATGAAGCGAAATGATAATTTATTTTACTACACATAGATTTCTTTGACGATTCGTGGCCTTACTCTGAAAAAAGTTATTCCTAACAAGTTTGAGCAAATTAACTTTATACTCAGAAATTACCTACAACAAATTTATGTATGTTTAAAATCAATTGTTAAGTATGTATCTCATACCAGACTGAAACGACAAGAAACCACTCGACGTTTCCGATTACTTCAACACATACTTTTTTTTTTTAAATCTTTTTATTGAGAAATAATACATGTTGCCACATTTAAGGGCACTGAGCACTAAAGCTGAGTGAGGCCCATTCATACTATATATACAATGCAATAAAAAAAATAAATAAAAATAAATAAATAAAAATATATATCTATATAACAAAGGTAAAAACTATAAAACTAAAGAAATGTAACTTGAAATCAAATAAAAAGATACAAACAAAACAAAACAGAAATTCGTAGCATATTAAATAAGTCATAAGTAAAACAAATAAATATATGAAAAAGAAAAACATTCATACTTAATATATAAAAAAGAAAAACATTCATACTTAATTTACAATCAGCCAAGGGAGCTCTGAGTCCAGCCCTTTCCTCCACGTGTGAAGGACAAAGAGAGACTCTAAGAGATCCCAGAGCTTCTCTCTCAGCCGCGTCACCGGCAGGAGTCCAGTGGAAACTGAGAGAGGGCACTAAAGCAACAGACGCTCATGACGTGAATGGAGAGGCTGGTCATTGCCAGAACTCCAGTGACAGTCTTTACAAAAGGTCTCGAGGTCACTGCCGTCTCAACCTTCGAGGAGGGTTGTAGGGGTGACTGGAGCTGGATAAGGATTGTGCTAAGGAGTTAGGATGGTGGATTAGGTCCAAATGAAAATTTGAGAATCGAGATGGAATAACGTAAAGGACATAAGGGATGTGAAGGTCATGATGTAGGGTTTTGTTAGTATCATAATAAGGAGCATTGACTATCATACGGAGGACTTTAGACTGAAAGGATTGGATGTGTTTGATGTTCGAAAATTTAGTTGTCCCCCACAGTTCAAGTCCGTAGGTCCAGATGGGTTTGAGTTTGGTCTTGTATATTAATAGTTATCAATGCACGTTTTAATGACATTTCTTATAAGCTAGGTAAATATATTAAATTAGTTAAAATAGGTCCATCTTGTTTTGTTTATATTAAAATTATTGTTAATTTTTAGGTAATATAATCTTAATTTTTCAATATTAATTAAATTTATTGTTAGAGAATATAGATTATTTTGAGATCCCTAATGAATAAATTCTAAAATATTCCTAAAGCTGCATTGGTGCCACAATGATAGATATTTACAAGCGTTTGTTAAAAAAAAAAAAAATGTGGATAGCAAAAATAATAATAATATTTACCTCCGCTTGATGGAATATGGTTTCCTCCCGTAGGCATATTTGGTTCTTGTTGATATCCAGGACGATCTGCGATAATCATAATGACGAATTCTCAATGCACTTTTTAATGATATTTCTTATAAGCAAGGTAAATACATTAATTTAATTATAATAGATCCAACTAAATTTGCTTATATTAAAATTATTGTTAATTTTTAGGTAATATAATCTTAATTTTTCAATATTAATTAAATTTATTGTTAGAGAATATAGATTATTTTGAGATCCCTAATGAATAAATTCTAAAATATTCCTAAAGCTGCATTGGTGCCACAATGATAGATATTTACAAGCGTTTGTTAAAAAAAAAAAAAAACATGTGGATAGCAAAAATAATAATAATATTTACCTCCGCTTGATGGAATATGGTTTCCTCCCGTAGGCATATTTGGTTCTTGTTGATATCCAGGACGATCTGCGATAATCATAATGACGAATTCTCAATGCACTTTTTAATGATATTTCTTATAAGCAAGGTAAATACATTAATTTAATTATAATAGATCCAACTAAATTTGCTTATATTAAAATTATTGTCAATTTTTATTAATTTATTATTATCATAATTTATTAAGAAGAAATATAATTTCCTTTTTCAATATAAACTAAATTTATCGTTGTATAATATCGATCATGTTAAGATCCTTAATGATAAATTCTAAAAATATTTCTAACGCTGCATTGGGGCCAAAAAGGTAGATATATAAAAACGTTTGTTAAAAAATAAAGACATGTGCATAGCAAAAATAATAATAATATCTACCTCCACTTGATGGACTATGGTTTCCTCCCGTAGGCATATTTGGTTCTGGTTGATATCCAGGACGACCTGCGATATTCATAAAGTTGAATTCAGAATGCATATTATTATTATTATTATTTTTTTTTTATTTAGAAAAAATACATTTTGCCTCAATTAAGGGCATTGAGTATTTAGGATGAATGAAATACATACATACCATATATAAAGTAAAATAAAAACAAGATTATAACAGAATAAAATAAAACTAGGAGTAACAGAATAAAGCGATCATGATAGAACATTAAATAAAAAATAAAATAAATAAAAACGCATTCATACTTATTTACAATATTTACAGTCAGCCGAGGGAGCTCCGAGTCGGGCCTTTTCCCACACGTGTGGAGGACAATGCAAGACTCCAGGAGATCCCAGCGCTTCTTTCTCAGCTGCATCACTGGGATAAGAATCCAGTGGAGACTAAGAGAGATCACTAAAGCCACATACGCTCATGACTTCAGTGAAGAAGCTGGCCATCACCAGGACTCCATTGACGTCTTTATAAAAGATCTCGAGGCCACTGCCGCTTCAACCTTCGAGGAGGGTTGTAAGGATGACAGGAACTGGATAAGGATTGTGCTAAGGGATTAGGATGATGGATTAGGTTCTGATGAAAGTTTCAAAATCGGGATGGAATAATATCAAGGACATAAGGGATGTAAAGGTCATGATGTACGGTTTTGTTTGTAACATAATAAGGAGCATTGACTGTTGTACGGAGAACTTTAGACTGAAAGGATTGGATGCGTTTGATGTTCGAAAATTGAGTTGTCCCACACAGTTCAAGTCCGTAGGTCCAGATGAGTTTGAGAATGGTCTTGTATATTAATAGTTTCTTTTCTATTGAGAGATTGGATTTTCTGTTAAGTGGTCTGTATAGCTGGCCAAATCGTCGGTTAATTACATGTCTTTTAAGTCTGGTATGTGGGTTCCAAGTTAGTCTTTTGTCTAAAAGAAATCCAAGATACCTAACTGTGTCTGAAACGGGGAGAGGTAGAGAGTTGAAAAGGATATGTGGACAGGATCTGCGTCGGAGGGTAAAGGTGACATGCTTGCATTTGGATTCATTAATCTTAATGCGCCAATTGTTGCACCATTGCTCAATTAGAGAGATGTGTCTTTGTAGGTTTAAGTATGCTGTTTCAGGATCTGAGTGGGATGACAGGATGGCAGTATCGTCAGCGAAGGTTGCTAGAAGGGTATCGGGGTTGGTTGGAATGTCAGCAGTGAAGAGCATGAAGAAAACTGGGCCAAAGACACTGTCTTGTGGAACACCAGCTTCAAATGGATAATAGTTGGAGAATTCCGTGCCGCAGTGGACTTGAAAGGAACGATTTGAGAGGTAGGATTTGAGGACTAGGTACAAGGATTGGGGTAAGTGAGTTTTGAGCTTGAAAAGCAAGCCATCATGCCACACCCGGTCGAAAGCTTGAGCTACGTCCATAAAGGCACCGGTGCAAAAATTGCTTGTTTTTAAGCGCAGAGGATATATGGTCAAAAACGCGAAGGCCTTGTTGAACAGTGGGATGTCTTGAGCGGAATCCAAACTGATGGGATGGGATATTGTGGGTTTCGAGTATGGGTAGGATGCGTTTGAGAAGGATTTTTTCAAAGATTTTGGAGAGGATTGGGAGCAAGTTTATTGGTCTATAGGATGAGGTATTATTGACAGGTTTACCTGGTTTTGGGAAGAGGATGATTCTGGAGTGTTTCCATGTCAGAGGAAAGTGAATTGTGCGCAGAATACAGTTGTATAGGTATGTGAGGAATATAATTGCTTTTTTGGAAAGTTGTCTAAGGATCTGGGAAGTAAGGAGATCGTGTCCAGGGGATTTTAGAGGTTTTAGGTTGCTTATAAGGAATTTGACCTCAGAGGGGTTGACAGCTATAGGAGGCAAGGAGAGAGGAATGGGAGAAGAGAGGAATTTTTTAACTTCAACAGTGAGGGTGGAATAGAGTTCAGGGTGGGGAGTAAATATTTTGATAGGTGTTTGGCAAATTCATCAGCTCTAGTCTCATCGGACGAAGCCCAGGTTCCATCATCGCATCGGAGGGGATGGGAAACAGAATGGTATTTAAGGATTTTTCTGGTCAATTTCCAGAGGGAATTGTCATCGGTAGATAGGGAAGAGAGGTAGGAATTATATGATTTGGATCTAAAGGAAGCCAGTTCTTTTCTTACCTGTTTTGTATATTAATTGTACAGTTTCCGATCATCAGGATGCCTGGTTCTTTGCCAGATGGTCCTAGATTGGCGTTTGGATTTAATGAGGTCGGTAAGGATTTGAGGCAGAGGAATCTTTTTAAGGTATTTTTTGGAGGATATTGGTGAGGATGCAGTCCAGACTGCTTGTTAGATCAAGGTGGTAAAGGAACTTACTGCATTATCTAGGTCTTGAGGTGTTTTTAGGGATACTCTGAGGTCTATTGCATCTGTTATTGTTTGGCGGAAATGTTCCAGTTGACTGGGCCTCTGATGAATGATGGAGGAGATAACCTGGGGATAGGAGATGCGGAAATGGTTAGATTTAGCGGACTGTGATCTGAGGAAAGGTCATCGAGTCGTAGAACTGAGTAATTTAGCGGCCCAAGACCTTTGTGAATGAAGAAGTCGAAGATATCAGGATTACGGTTAGGATCGGTTGGCCAGTATGTAGGAGTATCAGGGGGAAGTATGTTGGAATTGTGGGAGTTAAGTGCAGACAGCAACGATCACCCGCCGGAATTCGTGGTTCTGGCTCCCCATTCCTGATGTTTGGCGTTAAGGTCTGCACCTATAAGGAAGTGGTGTCCTAGAGAATTAAGAAAGGAAATGAAGTTAGGTTCATTTATTGCTATTTTAGGTGGAGAGTATGCTGCGACAACTGTAAGAGGAAAAAGTAAAGTTTGGATAGTTATTGCTGAGATTTGTAGGAAATTGTGAACTGGTAAAGGATACAAGTGATGGGAGAGAGATTGATGGATAATGACAGCAGTGCCAGCATGTACTGTTCCATCAGGGTGGTCAGTTCGATATATCTTGTAGCCAGGTATGTTGAACCGTCTTTTGTTTGTTAGTCGGGTCTCAGTTATTAGGCCTATGTCTATGTTATTGTCCTGTAGAAAAAAGGTTAGTTCGTTGATGTGATTTCAAACATCATTCGCATTCCTAAGGAGAATGGAGAGGGGTTTTATTGAGGACATTTGTATGTAAGGTAATGAGCGGTGTGATGAGGGATTTGATTTCGGAGAGGAATGATGTAAGGAGACTGGTAAGGTCATTGGAATTGTTAGGGGGGGGGAGAATGTAGGATATTTGTTGAGGACTGAAATTTTGAGTATTATTATGTTCGGGTGGTGCACCATGAGGTAGTGGTTGAGTTTGCGGCAGGGCATGAGGTTGAGTATGCTGTTCTAATTCTCCTAACATTTGAGCATAGGAGACTTCTTTGTTTGCAAATCTTGAGGGTTGCCTTGGTGCTCTGGGAGTAATGGGAGTCCTGGAAGTCTCTTCATGTCTAGGCGCTGTCTGTAATCTTGATTTTAAGATTTTATATGTCTGGCGTCCTTTGTAATTTGCTGGGTGATCTTTATGGCACACAGCAGGAGTTTGCCTGGACTTATTGCAATCTTCCGAATTATGTTGCTGCCCGCACTTCACGCAAGGCGGCAAGCGGTGGCAATAGCTTTTAGTATGGCCATATGATTGGAAATTATGACATTGTACTATTTCCCGTTTTGCATACGGTTTTTCGACAACTATGCTAGTATAGTACAGGCGTGTTAATTTATAGATGTTTTCGATTCCACTGGTGCGCTCAAGGTCTACGAAAAATAGTGGTAAGGCTATTTTGTTGTTTGCACCTTGTTGCTCTTTATTATCTCTAGATACATTGACAATTTGGCGAACACTGAAACCAAGTTCTGTCAATTCTTCTTTGATTGCCTCAGGTGGAGTTGTTGGATGGAGGCCTCTTATCACCACTCTTAGTGCTCTATCTTGAAATAATTGATAAGTATGGAATTCCGCCTTTGTATCTGTCAAGTATTTTACTATTTTTCTATATGATTCAGGAGAATCTGGCATCAACTTGGTGTCATTGGTTCGACTTTGACATGTGTTTTTAATATTGTTAAGTAATTTATTTAAATGCTGGCAAAATAGCGGACAATTTTTCATGTTTCTTATGAATATTGGAGGTGTTTTTGGCTCTCTGGGGGTTGATGGTATTTCCATTGTTTCTTCTACGGTATTACATGGTAGTTGGTATGGGTTAACAGTAAAAAAAGGTGATTCTTCAATTTCATTGTTTGTTTCGGTGGTCATAATTTCTGTTGAGGTACCGGCTTGAGGGTTGTTCACTGCATCATTTGATCTATCAGGTGTAGATGGTGGTGTTTTTCTGTTTGAACGCCTAGGCTTTTGTTTTACTGATGAATTACGAGAGCTAGTATCGCCTAAGCCTCTTGATCTTTTATTCTTGCTAGACATTATCATATGATAATATCGCATTTCAAGTCAACGACTATTGGGAAAAAGAAAAAAGAAGAAACAAATTTTTTTTTTTTATTAGTACGTAAAAATTACGCAGACTGGTAGAGGGCCAAGCGATATGACCTAACATACTTAACAGCTCGACAGGCACTGAGCTACCTGGCCCTAAGTGGGGGGACTGTAGATAAGAATGGTCACTCTATCTAATTCTATGGTTGTTTACAATATTGATCAAACTTAATAAACAAGCGGTTACTCACCGTGTTTATGGTTCTATTCAAGAATGTACTATATAATTGTTCAATAGCACTATTTTTTTAACACAACGGTTCACTAATTCACTGGTAATTATGATAATTGTGAGAGACGATGCAGCAGGTGGGTTGAAATATACTAGCGCATGCGCAGAACTGTCAACACATACTAGACAAACGCTCTGATCTTCCAATAATACGGCCTATTTGGACTTAAGGAGTTGAGCTATTGTTACAAATAACACCATCCATAATGACCTTAATGTTTCTTATGTTTCAGATCTGGCCCAATCCAGATATCTATCCTTCCATAATAAACTTCAGAATCATCCCAACCCTATCGTTTCTAACCTTGCTTCCTCTTCAATTTCTGATAACACTCTGAGGCGTCTGAAAAGAAGATGGCTCCGTGATCTCCTAATGTAGACATATCATTGCAGTGCTACCATTGGGTAGTTACTCAGCAAGTGTTTTCGTGCCATTATATCCATATCTTCAAATTTACTGGATGTATTTATTTAATACAGTTGTAAATATCATTATGAAATAATAATTTAAAAAAAAAATAAGTAAGTTTAGAAACCTACTCGTACTTCTACACTACACTACTCGTAAGTTCTACACTCTGTATGAGAACAGGCAAGAGGAATATAATTTTTTTCTGATGATCAGATTCTTATACAATCCCTAGATCTTTCCGAAAACGATAGCTTTAATATTTCAATATGATCGACTATCGATTGCCATCCCTATCACAGTCTTTTATATCTTTCATAGGAATTTGATTTCTGATGCTTATATTTTGTTTTTATGCTTAGTGGTTATTGACCATGATTTGAAAGTAAGTTAGTATGAGGAGAAAAGTTTGACTTCACTATATCTTATTCTGAAAATTCGATATTTTCGTCATCTATTTGGAAGATTTTAGCACTACAATCCACGTGGACTGAGCCTCATAACATCATTCACCAGTAATTATTGTTGTGAGATGCCGGTTTCCAATCCAAAGAATGGATTTTACGTTAGCCGCCACACATTAAGCCAAATGCAGTTCGAGTCTTCCAATTAATAGTCTTTCGAATAGCCATTCAATGAGTGGCTTCTTCGGAATTTGAATATCTGGCATCCTGGCCGCATATCCTGCCCAGCGGAGTCGGCCAATATTAATAAATCTGACCACATCTCTACTCTGAAACAGTTCCTGCAGTTCTGCATTTGTTCCATTTCTTCAATGTTGGTTTATATAGATTGGACCAAATAGATCAAATTTATGCACAGATGCAATTTGGTATAAGATTCTTATTAAAAATTTAAAAAAAAATCCATTCATGTAAAATTAAGGAAAATCTGTATTATAAAAATTAAAAGTAATGTAAAGCAAATTACTAGATGCAAACATCCTTTGTAAATCAATTAAGCCCTGGACGATAGTTTCCATTTGATGCAAAGTAGATATCATGTTCTTAGTCACTGGATCTAAAGTATGTTGTCTGACTTTCATACCTGAAACAATAAATGTGCATATTATAAGGTATTAACTTTTTATGTTTAATCCGCTCTAACCAGGGGAATATATATATAGATACATTGTGTGACAAGTTTAAATTAATAAAACAGAAATATGGACTATCCGTTGGCGGATCTAGAGGATTTTTTAAAGGTTTTCCTAATGACCTAAAGCAAGGATAATTTTAATTTATTGAATAATTGTATATTATATCTTCCATATTATATTTTGTCCTAAACCAAGTAAGATTTGTTTTTATAATGAAATAATTTATTTTGTATCTTGAAGCCCATCCCGCCTTAATAGAAACACGAAAAAAGTAAATTGATGTCAGGAGAACTTCATTAAAAACTAGTTGTAATCATCGTTTTTATAGGTCTTCTTGTTTTTTTATATTTAGAAAGAAGGGTATTTTGACAATAATTAGATTGAAATTATATTAATATTTATATTCTCTTATTAAGTTGATTTTAATTTAGGTAATGAAAATAATATGATCTAATCGGTAGAGAAATAAAGGTGGAATGACAATAAAGACAGAAGGTATAATATATATCGTTGGAAAGCGGAGAATTTTAGAAAAACAATATCTAATATAGAATGTCGTTGAAGGTAATAGAGAGTAATAACAAATTTATAAATAATAATTTCTGAACCTGATATTAATTAACAAATATCACATGTTTCCAAAGAAATTAATGTAAAATTTTAAAATTATTTTGAAGTATGTAAAATCCACCGAATCAAGGCAACAACATTGTTTAAAAAACTATTATACAAAAGAAAAAAGCAATGAAAAATAAAAATATTTCGTGGATGTACAGAGTATAAAACACCTGTTTATAACCTTAAATACATTTACTGTAGTTTAATGACTCTAGATCCGTCATTATATTTAATTAACTAAGTATCTATCGTCCATTTATCCCGAAAAATCATCATGTAATCTTTTAGAGAACTAAATTAGTGAATAATCTGATGAATTTTTCATTCATGAAATCCTAACACTACAATAATTTTTAGTGTCTTAGATTTTTCAAAAGTTGTCACACTAATATCTGAAACTCTATTTTAGTAATCTTTATAATTGGAAATCAAGAGGTTAATAATTAATAGCCATAAAATCTAGTGCCGGCCTTAGGGTGGGGCAACTGGAGTAATTGCACCAATGAGCCGTTTGGTGGTGCTTACCACTTGTTAGAAATAAAGAAACATTAAAATAATTAAGTTCAGCTTATCAATATCAACTGTATTGAGATATGTTGAATGAAATAAAATTCAAATATTACGTAATATAAAACAGCTTAAGTAAAAAATATAATTTTTTAGGGGATGGGATGTTGTCATTACAGGGGTGTGCCGAATGTCTAAGGCCGGCACTAATACAATATTTAATCATTTACAGCTTAAATATACAGATGCAATTTTCAAAAATCTCTAGTCATAAATAGCTCAGAGAGTGAAGTTATGTGACTAACGAAAAAAAAATGAAGTTACGAGATTTTTATTGCCTACCGTCGATAATAAATAGGGCTTTTGTTATTTTAATAGTCTTACTGATTTGTCAGGACGCCCTCCGACCGCAGGAAAGATAAGATGGCAGGATGGGGTAAGTGAGGATTCCTGAAATTTATTAAATATGCACAGGGAAGACTGTCGGAAGCGGATCGATTTGTCTGCTGTAAGTTTTAATGGTGGCGGAGTGGCCAAGCGGGCTAACGCGTGTGCAAAGCACAGTACGTTGCCCGGCGATCCGATAACCGAAGTTTAAGATAGAAAAACAATTCAAAGTTCAAATCTCTGTGCCCGGTGAGACTTTTAACTTGGCATAATTCTCCCGTCCTCTCCCCCGGCCCGGGAAAACCTCGTATAGTCTAAAAAGTAAGCAAGGAGAGACAAAAAAAAAAAAAAACTGTGGGCTTCAAGCTTTACCTCCGTTTATAATGCAGATCTAAAATTTTGTAATAGCCCAACATTGAAGTAAAATACTTTCTATTCAAATTATGTCGTATAATGTACGCACCAGATTTTTTCCATTTTGTATCATTTTTCATATTATTTCAACGTATAATCGACAGCTTTTGAACAGTTTTGCGAAAAGTAAGGTGTTTTTAAGTTATTTCAGGAAACGTAAACGCAATTTCCGGACTGATTTTGATCTTATTATTAAAAAAAGTTGTAAGTTATGTGTTAAAAATGTACAGGTTTAAAATATTATATAATGTAGCACAATTTATATAATATTATAACTAAGAGTTAGAAAAAGGCACAGAAAGGAATTTTTTTTGCGAAATTTGTCATGGTGGAAGCAAATTGTCTTGAACAAAGCAAATCATTCTTATCCGGGATTCATGGAAACAATGTCTGAATAATGTTTTACGCATGCTTCGAAAAAGCTAACGTACAAAACCTGTTGTAGGGGTAGCCAGAAGGGTTTACGTGCGGCAAGCTGCGGCATAAACGTTTTTCATGGAGCATATTTTTACAGCGATATATGTATTGTTAAAGGCTTGGGAGGCACATATTACAGACAGCGTAGATAAGGAAAGAAATAAAAGTTAAATTTACATTGCTGATTGAAAGCGAATATGAGGGATCATAGCTTGATTGTGCTCTTTTAAATGATGTTGATCAAATGGTAGATACAAAGATTAAATTAGTTTGAGTACGTCCATAATACTTTTCTTTATATTAATATAACGGTTAATTTTAGAAGTGTTTGTTAAATATTCATAGTGTTAGATTGGTACCACATACAAACGTTTGTTAAAAAATAAAATCATGTGCATAGAAAAAATAATAATTATATATACCTCCACCTCTTCTTAAAAAATGTTTTTTCTTCGAAGGCTGAATTGGTAATTCATGATATGTACAATAACCTGAAATATTAATAATGATGTATTTAGCCTGAGGGTATGCTTTCTAATAATTTTGATTAAAAGGTAGGGAAATAGGTTGAATTAGTTTATATATTGATTTTTTTTTAGACTTTCGAAATTATTATTTATGGAAACTATAGTTCGTATTGAGATCCATAATAAACCAAATCTGAAATAGGCACAATGCTGCACTGATGCCATAAATACAGATACATAGATACGCTTGTTAAAAAATAAAACCATGTTGATGACAAAAATAATAATTATATTTACCTCTTTTACTTGGTAGAAAACTGTTTTCGTCCATAGAAATGTCTGGAGAACTATCTTCCATTATTATTTTATCATCATTTTGATATCCGGGCTCAACAGAATCTGAAATATTCATAATGATGTATTCAGCTTGAAAGTGCGGTTTCAAATGATGTCCGTTAACAGGTGAAGAAATAGGTTGAATTAGTATATATACGTCTTAGTATATATACTGCTTCATATTAATATTATTCATATTTTTTTAGTTTATTGGAATTATAAAATTACTTTTTCACTAAACAGGGTGTTTCGTAATTTCACAATTTTAAGTATGTGTTCACTAACACAAAATAAACACAAAAGTTTATATTAACATATATTTCAAACCCGTTTATTAAACATATATCAAAGGTTAAAGATTAATTATTTATTTACAACAATAAAACTAGCTCAACAAAGTTTAACGTGTCTAATACTAAATAACAGGTTTTAATCACCTGATAAACAAATGAACGATATGCAATGACAGTAGCTGCTCATCTGTTTGTCTAGTTTTGTGTCTTTTTGTGTGAGAGAATATTGTGACGCAGTTTAATTTATAATTATCATGGGAAACACCATACATTTATTGAATTTTGTAGAACTAACATAAATGCTTTTAACTTATGGCGAGGTACATAGAAACGGTGCGTTGCTGTTCAAAGATATAGTGAAAAATTTCCTAACCGAAGAATATGAAGTCGTAAAACGTTTTAGGTCATTGAAAGGCGCCTTAGGGATAATGGCACGCTAAACTATGTACGAGTAAACGCTGGTCGACAAAGATTTCGATGAACTGCAAAGGTTGAAGAAGAAATACTCGACGCTGTACAGTTACCTCCTACTACTAGTACCACAAGATTGTCATGTCATTTGGATGTTTCCTCTACCAGCGTATAGCGAACTTTATGCGAACAACAATTGTATCCATTTCACGTATCGATTTTTTAAGATTTCTTTCTACAAGATTATAAAAGACCCAGAATTTTCTCCCAGTGGTTAATTCGACGTGCATACGAGATCCTAACTACCTGAACAAGGCAGATAGGAGTCGTTGGCAGGAGCAATACCAGTACGAGGTGGCCCAATATAACTATTATAATATGAGAAGAAAAGTAGTCCAAAATATAATGAACTCCCACGCTCCCAAACAGTGCCCAATCTTTTTTTTTTTTTTTTTTTTTTTTTGTCCCCTTTCCTGGAATTTTTGCCATACGGGGTTTCAGCAGTGCGTTGATAAGTTGGGGATACGTGCCGCTACTGCTGCCAATACTCTGAATACTAATGCTTTATTTTATTTTATTGTCACTGTGGTGCGCACGGGTTTGCGCCTTACTGATGGGACCGCACCTTAGTCTCCAGCTGGCTGCTTATCATGCCCTCCAAGTTGGATAGTTTCCTCCAACAGTTTGATGCTGCTTCTTTCTTATGGCCTACTCGTGGAAATCATCTCCCTATTGAGAAGTGAGTAGGTTCCACCTTTTGCCTCCATTTTCTCACGAACTCTAAGAATTGGGGGTATTTATCCTCTTCCATTAGATGAGGAAGATGCTCTTCGTCCAGGACGTACAGTCCCGTCCTCCGCATCAATATGCCTCTGGCTCGCTCCATCGCGGTGCATGATACAACCATCGATGTTGTTGCTCCATCGCGATCGATGTTCTTCCCATGCTTACTGAGTTTGTCTCTAAACCCCCCATGCCCCGTCAGGATCTGTGAGGTCCAGTAGTCCGGTTCGACCCAATTTGCTTCCAATCTGGAATGAACGGTGCAGAAGTATTTTCTCAAGGTGGCTCCATTCTCACTTGCAATCCACCGCCCATTCCATTCCTCTAGTGTCGCCTCTCGGACTATGCCACTCCATCTTCCTGGATCCTCACGGACCCTCCGTTGAGACCCCTCTGGGAGTGCCTCCAGTCCCTGCCTCTTTAGGTCATTCCTCCAAGCGTCCTCCTGAAGGACGAGGTCCAGAGGCAACGTTCTGCACGTGATTCATGGGACGGCTCCACGCTGGGGATGCATACCACAGTATACCCAGCACAACTCCCTTGTAGATGATTCTTGTCGCTGGGTATCTGAGGCCCCAAAAGGCACCCCCTACCCGTGCAAGGCCATTTAGGGACAGGGCCACTCTCCTTCGTAGGTACTCTATCTGAGGAGAAATATTAAATTTTGATTTAAATCTCACGCCTAGGTAGGTGATCTCCTCAACTAGGCGGACTCTATCTCCTGCTACTCTGAAACTAATAGGGTGGGCCCTGTCCGTAGAACCCTTCAACAGTATGACCTGGGTCTTTGCCGCCGCCATCTTCATTTTCTTCATTGCACACCATTCTTCTACTATGGTGGCGCATCTTTCTCCTTCCGCCACCAATCTCGCTTTGCTATTCGCTGCTACTATAACAGCCAGGTCTTCAACGTAGGCAACGGCACCGAAGCCCGCTACCTCCAATTCCCCCAGCAACTGGTCAAATATTAACAGAGCCGGGCCCAGGACTGAGCCCTGTGGACATCCTCTTTCTATTTTCCGCTCTACCTCATAGAAGGTATCCAGTATTCTAGCTTTCCTATCGCTGAGGTTATCTCAAGTAATTCTTCTTCGATATAGGGGACACTCCTCTTTAAGTTCGCCGCATCGATGGTGTCGAGTCCCTGAGCTCTTCCTAACCTTTGTCTGTCTATTGCCAACCACAGGTCCCACACGTCCCATGGTGGAATGAACTTCGTGCCAGGCGGATACTCCGTAGTTTTCCTCAGAACCTTATCCTCTTCGTTGTCCTGGGACGGGTCATCCCTAGGGTAGGTCTGGTCCAAGTATCTTCCAACTGTTTCCTCGACGGTGGGTGCTGGTCCACCTGCCGATCTTATTGCCGCCATTATTTCACCGGGTTTAAATTTATCCATCGCCACCCTGTACGGAATACCCCAGGGATTCTTCTCACTTTCAGTTTTTATGAACTGGTCCCAGGAAACTCTCTTCTGCAGAGAGTTTCCTCCGCACTCCGGCCTTATATAGTCTATAACTACCTCAACTGCAATTCGCTCACTGAAGAATCTTGCTTTACAAGATACGGGATTCTTAATTTTCGAAATACCCAAACATGAGCTGAAGAAAACCTCCATACGACTGCTGTTGGACATTACCAGTATACTTTTTCTTTAAATGTCTGGCGTGGTCTTCTAAGCGACATCATCATCGGCCCCTTCTTTTTGCCACCTAGGTTGTCAGGTATATCTTACTTGCATTTTTTGCAAAATAATCTTCATGAACTCCTAGAAGAAATCCCACCAGGCATTAGGAAAAGGCTGTGGCTTATGCAGGACGGTACTCCAGCTCACTTTTCTAGTAGTGTCACTAATTATCTAAATCCAACTTATGGAGACCGATGGGTTGGTCGAAACGGACTTATTTAATGGCCACTAGGATCTTTGGATTTAATGCTATTAGATTAATTAGTGTGGGGTTGGATGAAAACTATGGTTTATTCTGCGGCAGTTGGTGTGCTAGAAGAGCTAAGAAATCGGATCGTGCAAGCCGCAGTAACTATGAAGCACCAGCCTGATGCTGTACGTAGAGTCAGAGAAGGAAGAAATCGTCGTGCTGAATGTTGCATTCAACAAAACGGAGGTCCATTTGAACAATTATCATAAACAATGCAACAATAATAAATAAATAGTAATTATAAATAATAAATCTTTAACCTTTGATATCTGTTTAATAAATGAGTTTGAGATATATGTTAATATGAAGTTTTTTGTTAGTGAACATATACCTAAAATAGTACCGTGTAATTACAAAACACCCTGTATATTAAATTTATTATTGAAAAATTTCGTTCATATTGAAATCCATAATGAACAAAATCTGAAATCTTCAAAATGCTGCATTGGTGCCACAAAGACAGATTTATAGAAACGTTTGTTAAAAAATAAAAAGCATGTGTATAACAACAATAATAATTATATTTACCTTCTTCACTTGATGGAAATTGGTTTTTCTCCATAGGCATGTTTGGTTCTTGTTGATTTTTAGAATGACCTGTAATATTCATAATAATGGAATCAAAGTTTTCTTTATTATCGGATAATTTCGTTCATACTGAAATTCATAATGAACAAAATATGAAATATTCATAACGCTACATTAGTGCCACAGAGAGAGATTTATAGAAACGTTTGTTAAAAAAAAAAAATGTGCTTAGCATAAATGATAATTATATTTATCCTCTCTGCTTAATGGAAACTGGTTTCTCGCATTGGTATGTTTGAAAATTTATCCTCCATTGTTATTTTATCATCGTTTTGATGTCCAGACTGAACAAGACCTGAAATATTTATAATGATTTATTCAGCGTGATAGTGGCCTTTCTAATGATGTTGATTAAAATGTAGGAAAGTTGGTTTAATTTTTATACACAACCATACTATTCTTCTTTATATTATTATTATTATTATTATTGCTAATTTCTTTTAATCTTCGAAAAGATCATTTTGAAACGAATCATACTACTCATCAAACCCCAAAATCTTATCGTATCCTTCGGTTTGGTTTTCGCTCAAAAAACTATGCTTAACAAGCAGTCGTTGGCCTTATATCAGCAACCCTAGAAAACAACCAATACTGTTCGGTTACATTTTTGGACATAGCATAGGTTTTTCTGAACCTCGGGGTGCTCTTCAAGTTCAAAATCCATCTAGCTCAACCCTTATAACTAGTCCTTCGATCCTACCTCTTACTCGTAGACCACTCTTCTTGAGTACGCTGTGGAAACTTTTTACGATGTCTATCCAGTTAAAGCCGGTGTTCCCCAGCACAGCGTCTTGAGTCCCATACTTTACAACCTCTTTACTTTTCATTCCGATACATTCCTTGCACCATGTGATGTTGATACGTCAATCCTATCATCCAACTTAGATCCCGAAATAGTATCCTTAAATAAACAAGGCACCTCTCCCTGATTGTACACTGGTGCAATTAATATAGCCTTAAGGTAAATGGATCAAAGTGAGAACGTATTGCCTTTTCTCTATGACATATTGTCGGTCCAGCAGCACACTTTAATTCCATCCAGCTTCCTTACTCCTTAGACCCTGTCCGTTACGTTAGCTCAACTTTCAATTGAGAATAAATTACTGATCTAAAAGACAGTACTGAAACCTCTTTGGACCTTCGGAAAAGGACTGTGAGGAACAGTAAAATTTTCATATAACATAATATAACATTCAATTTTTTCAGTCCGAAATCCTTAGAACAATAGTTGATGCTCCGTTCTATATAACCAACAAAACTATATCATGATCTTAATATCCCCCCATTTGTCCTAAGCCCTATTCTTGATTTGTTTCACAATTTTCAACAGAACCTTACATTCCATCCAAATCCACTTGCACAACTCTACTCATCTATACAATCCTCCTTGAACGTTGATGTGGCCCAGAGACCTGTTGTAAGCATATATTGGAATTCGTCTGGTAAAGGCAAAACTCTCAACTCAAGTATGTCTCATATGTCTCGTTATAGCGCCTCTGTTCAGTCTCCACTGGTGTATAATACCAGTAATGCGGTTGAGTGAGTGGCGCTGAGATAACCTTGAGTCCTGCCTTTCCTTCCACAAGTGGAACTAAAGGCTCATATAGAAACTTTTTTAAATAAAACATGTGCATATCAAAAATAATAATTATATTTACCTTCTTCACTTGGTGCATAATGGTTTTCCTTCATAGGTATATCTGATTCTTGTTGATATCCGGGATGTGCTGTAATATTGATAATGATGAATTCAAGCTGGGATTGCACTTTATAATGATGTTGCTTAAAACCTCAGTCCTTGTACCTAGTCCTCCGATCCTACCTCTCTGACCGCTCCTTTCGAGTTCGCTGTGAAACAGAATTTTCCAATATCTACTCCGTTAAAGCCGGTGTTCCCCAAGGCAGCGTCTTGGGTCCAGTGCTTTACATCCTCTTTACTGCTGACATCCCTGTTCATCCCGATACTTTTCTTGCAACATTCGCTGACGACACCGCAATCTTATCATCCAACTCTGATCCCGAAATAGCATCCTTAAATCTCCAAAGTCACCTCACCTTGATTGAGCACTGGTGTAATAACTGGCGCATTAAAGTTAATGAATCTAAATGCCAACATATTACCTTTACACTCCGACGCAATTCCTGTCCACCAGTACTCTTTAATTCCATCCAGCTTCCTTATTCAGACACAGTCCGGTATCTTGGCTTTCATTTAGACCGAAGACTAACTTGGAACCCGCATACTAGACTCAAAAGACAAGAACTCAACCGACGATACGGCCAACTATACCGACTACTAAGCAGAAAATCTAAACTTTCCATTGAAAACAAGCTACTGATCTACAAGACAATACTGAAACCTATTTGGACTTACGGACTAGAACTGTGGGGATCAGCAAAATTTTCTAACATCAAGCGCATCCAATCCTTCCAGTCTAAAGTCCTTCGAACAATAGTCGATGCTCCTTTCTATGTATCCAACAAAACCCTACATCATGACCTTAACATCCCATTTGTCCTAGACCTTATCCCAGAAAAATTCTCCAAATTTCACCAGAACCTTACTTACCATCCAAATCCTCTTGCACAATCCCTATCAAGCATCTCCCATCCCTATAATCCTCCAAGAAGGTTGAAACGGCAGTGGCCTCGCGACCTTTTGTAGATTATATAAATTGGAGTTCTGGCAATGGCCTGATTCTTCACTCAAGACATGTGTGTATGTGGCTAAAGTGCTCTCGACCAATCTCCGCTGGCTTTAGTACCAGTGACACGGTTGGGAGAGTAGCGCAGGGTTCTCCTGGAGTTCCCTCGCCTGATTGTATATAGGTATGCATGTGTTTTTTTTTTTTTTTCCTTAGTTTTAATTTTCTTATTTTTTTTAGATTATTTTATTTTATTGTCTATTGTATATACTTTTGATTATTATTTTGTTCTATTTATTTTATTTTTTTGTACATATGGTGTGAATGTCATCCTACCTCACTATAACCAATGTCCAACAGACAGATTGTTATAATACTCAATAAAGAAATTTAAAAAAAAAAAAAAAAATTCAGTAAATAGGTCAAATCAGATAAAAAGCCATACTACTTTTCTTTATATTAATATTATTGTTATTTTTTTAGTTTATTTAAATATGATTTAAATTTTTCACTAAGGAAGGCAGTGGATCAGCTGATGGGAAGGTTTAATACTCAACTCGTATCTCAGTTTTTGTCTATTTTTCAGCGTAATCTCTCTGATTATTCACTTTAAAGAGATTGCACTTTATTAAACAAAGTTCAAGTGCACAACAGAGCAGTTGATATTTACTGTTTGATATCTTTTTTTTTTCCTTTTCTTTTCTTCTGTTATGATATGCGTTATTATGATCACCAGGCGATGTCCAGTAAGGTGCCCACTAAGAGGACTCGGTCAGACGGCGTTAGAACTTCTTGTGGTTCACCAGCCAAACAAAGAACTCGTCGCAGCTTACGAGAAACACCTTCAATGATCACAGTGAACACTTCAGATCGTGAACCTCAGTCCCGACCATGTACATATTCGCAATAAATGCTTGAAGAGTTTCCTTTTTTTTACTCCAAACCGGTTCCGAATGCTTCAGAATGACATAGAACTAATGTAGTCTGCAGCAATAACTAGGAAACCAAGGTCTCCTCCAGTATTTGTAAAAAATATAACAAAAGATTATTATGTACACAACTAAACAAAATCTGCTCTGGCAGTTATTCTTGCCTCAACAGGACGAACAATACAAAATTAATACCAGATACTGCTCGAAATTACCGAAAAATAGATAGGTACCTGTAAGAAACGAATGCAAATTTCCATACGTACTAGCTGAAACAGGAGAAATCGTTACGATTGGTGGTAAGGAATCTGCACTCTTCAATCCCAAATGAAGTGATAAAAGAAAAACTAACGATGCTTGGTTTCAAAATACGTCAGATAGCTAAAGTTCCGAAGGAGAATAAGGAGCAGCAAGGAGTAAAAAAATAAAGTTCCACTACTTTTATTTTTCATGGATCTAGAGCCATCACCTAGTATCGAGAAAATATATGAAATCAAGAAATTGTACTACACTATCATGAAGGGGGGAAATAGTGCAGTGCCACAATTGCCAGG